GGTATGTTACAGAAACTCTGGCCAACTTTGGAGATTAGAATGAATCTGACAATGAAAGTACTTCCCTGGCTATAGAGTGTACCGAGAGAAATGATACATTTTCCCCATATCTTTTCCATCAGATCAGTGCTGTTAAGTAGGTCACAGCAGACTCAATTGAACACGGATCTGACTGCATACCTGCAAAAGAATTGCCTTGGAGATGTGTGTGTGTTGAATGCCACGGAGTGGGTTAGAGAACATGCCTCTGACTACATTACCAGAGATGTTCTACCTCCTTCCACCACTGGATGCACAGTACAGTCTGTCGATCTAATTCTCACAAGACTTTGGATATATAGCCATCACATCTACAACAAATACAAGAGGAAGAATATTCTAGAGTGGGCAAAGGAGCTTTCCCTGTCTGGGTTTAGCATGCCTGGAAAACCTGGCGTTGTTTGTGTAGAAGGCCCGCAAAGTGCCTGTGAAGAATTCTGGTCAAGGTTTGCTATCACGTATCTTATACAATCACATTTAATAATAAGTCAGATGCTGGAGATGTGAAAATATGGCCCTAGGGTTGCATCTTGGAGATTCAGGGTTGAAACCGTAGGTAAGACAGAAATCACACAGAGTCAGCATGATCCCCTTCAACTAGCGCACTGAACACAGCAGACCTCTAAATAAACGCTGGAGGAATTGAGCTCCTGACAAGATGTGGTCTAGGATCCCATTCGTGTCAGTGGATCTCAGTCCTTCTCGTGTTTGTGATGCTGTACCTTGTAATATCTTGTGAAACAAGGGCCTCTGTAGAAACAATCACAACTACTCCCAGTCTTCTTTCCCTGCTGACTTTGTGGGTTTTGGAGAAGTTATTTCAGTGAGATTTAGTCATCACCTTATTTCTGTAGAAGGGAATGATTTTGGCAATTGATGGGTTAAGGGGGAGCGTTATGATGAGAATACTAGGTAAGTTGGTGATGCAGCAGGAAATTATGTCCCGAGAGAGGCATGGATAACTGTCAGAGTTTCTGTTGTCAGTGCTGCCAATGAAAATAAACTTTGTAAAAAGTTCTACTTTGAATATGTCTTTTCAGACTCAGAAAGTTAAACTGGAAAAGAATCTTAATTCGCCATCGAGAAGACACTCCTTTTGACGGTACGAATGACGAAATGCAAAGGCAAAGGAAATTTTCCATTTTTGAAGAGAAAGTGTTCAATGTTAGTGGAGCCAGAGGAAACCATATGGACTTTGGGCAGCTCTATCAGTTCTTAAATGTCAAAGGCTGTGGGGATGTCTTCCAGATGTTCTTTGGTGTAGAAGGACAGTAACAGCAAAACAGTGATTGCAAATAGTTTATCACTACAGGCCTTTTGATTGTTTCCCACTGTTTACTGATAGTCCCACTGTAATTTAATCACAGTTCCGTTGTAGAATGTTGAAAGGAAGAAAACCAAACAAAAAAATCAGTATAGCTGAAATACATTTGTTAAAAATGTCATGATTGAGAATAGGTGATCATCCTAGCAACTGAGATGACCAGATCTCACATGAACTGCCAGGGTTACAGTCCCAGTTTGGGCTCCTGCTCCAGCTTCCCACCTGCGCTGACTCCAGAGGGCAGTGGTTACAGCTCAGGCAGCGGGTTCCTGCCACCTCCTGGTTACACTCCCAGCTTCCCACCCGCGCTGACTCCAGAGGGCTCAGGCAATGGGTTCCTACCACCTCCTAGGAGGCCTGGAATGTGTTCCCATCCCATCCTTCCAGCCCCAGCCATTGCAGATATTTGGGGTGTGAATCAAGATGATAACTCTTTTGAATCAGTTTTTGAAAACTGCATGATTAAATTTCAAGTTATCTTAGAGTTTTTGCTAAACCTTTTTTTTTGTTTTACAAACTACTCATTTTGAAAGAAAAACTGTGTATGGCGATAATATTGATGATCTAACTTTCCAGCAATACCAGTTCTCTCCCCCCTTACCTCCCTCAATAAAGAACCTGAAAAAGTTCATTGCTGTCTCTTCTAGCCGGTATCACAGCTTTGCGTGGCCTTAGGATTTCCAGGACAACTTCTGTATCCCAATGAAAGTAACAGACCCAGTGGAATGTGTTGTGGCACAGCAGGTCAAGCCACCACTTTTTTGGTGTTTGTTTTTTTTTTTTTCCTATTTTGTTTTTCCTTATTTTTGACAGTCTTTACATACTTATCTCGATTGCAGTCCAGCTTCCAGGTACTGTGTCCTGCTTAGGCCCTTGCAGGAAAACCCAAGTGAAGTTGAACTTCCTGCCTTCAGCCTGGGCAGTGCTGGGGCTTGTGATTACTAAGGCTGTGGATCAGTAGAGATGAAAGATCTTTCTGTGTGTCTCTATGTGTTGCTCTGCCTTTTGAGTAGATAAAAAAATTAAACATTGGTAAAGAAAATAGGCTGCAAACTAAGCTGCCTCTTTCACCACAAGCAGTAGTGACAACGGGAGCTAGGAGCATCCTTTCAAACCTGAGAGAAAAACCAAGAGAATCACAAAGATGCCAGTCCCCACGTTGTTGAGCTACCGAACCAATAACCGTGCCCTCCTCTAGATTTATGAAATGGTTTGATTTTCTTCAGATATCTGAGCCTATTAGTAGCAGTTGAAAGCTAGTGTATCACTTAGATGTTTTCAAAGTTTTAGTGTATACCTCAGCCGCCTGACACACAAATAAGTGACATTTTGCATCGATGGTGTTCAGTTCGTCTGTTTCTATGAGCTTGAGTTCCATCTCTGCTTCTGGACTTTGCTTATAGAAGACAGAGGTATGAGTGGAGCTAGAAGTTTCCTTAATGTATTTATGTGGTACAATGCCAGCATCCCATGCTCCACTTCAGATCCAGCTCCCTATTAACACATCTAAGGGGGATGGCTGAAGACTTCAGCATCTGTTCCCACGTGGGAGACCAGATGAAACTCTTGTTTGTTTGTTTTTTAAGATTTATTTTGTTTTTATTGGAAAGGCAGATATACAGAGAGGAAGATCTTCGAACCAATGATTCACTCTCGAAGTGACTGCAATGGCCAATGCTGCTCCAATCTGAAGCCAGGAGCCAGGAACTTCTTCCAGGTCTCCCACACGGGTGCAGGGCCCCACAGCTTTGGGCCGTCCTCAAAGGCTTTCCCAGGCCACAAGCAGGAGGCTGGATGGGAAGTGGAACTGCAGGGATTAGAACCAGTGCCCATATGGGATCCTGGCACGTTCAAGGCGAGGACTTTAGCTGCTAGGCCACGCTTCCAGGCCCAGGATGAAACTCGGCTCATGGTTTTGCCTGGCCCAGCCGAGGCCATGTGGGGAACGATCCCTGTAATTTTGCCTTTCAAGTAGACCCTTAATTTAAAAGAACAAGTTCGGTGACCCCGAGTATGTCATATAATTTAAGACACACAATGAAAGAAACTAGTAACAAGGTGAATCTAGCAATACTGACCATATCCTTTTCTTACACTAACACCAAAGATTATATAGTTGATGTATAAAATTTATCTTTAAAATTTGTGTAGTGGGCTCGGTGCAGTACCCTAGCAGTTAAAGTCCTCACCTTGCACATGCTGGAATCGCGTATGAGTGCCAGTTCTAATTGTGGCAGCCCTGCTTCCCATCCAGCTACCTGTTTGTGGGCCTAGAAAAGCAGTAGAGAGCAGCCCAATACCTTGGCACCCTGCACCTGCATGGGAGACCTGGAAGAAGCTCCAGGCCCTGGCTTCAGACTGGCTCAGCTCCAGCCATTGCGATCACTTGGGTAGTGAACCAGAGGACAGAAAACCTTCCTCTCTGTCTCTTCTCTCTGTATGTCTGCCTCTGCAAAATAAATAAATAGATAATAAAATTATTTTTTAAAAATCTTTGTAGTATGGTTTTATGTGTATTTATTCCACAAAGATAATTTGTCAGTGTGGTAATGGGTTATATGCAAGTCTCCTGAGCTGGAATCATTGAAAAAGAAATAATGTTGGGCCCGGCAGCATGGCCTAGCGGCTAAAGTCCTCACCTTGAACTCGCCCGGGATCCCATATGGGCACTGGTTCTAATCCCCGCAGCTCCACTTCCCATCCAGCTCCCTGCTTGTGGCCTGGGAAAGCAGGCGAGGACAGCCCAAAGCCTTGGGACCCTGCACCCATGTGGGATACCCGGAAAAAGTTCCTGGATCCTGGCTTCGGATCGGCATAGCATCGGCCGTTGCGCTCACTTGGGGAGTGAATCATCAGATGGAAGATCTTCCTCTCTGTCTCTCCTCCTCTCTGTATGTCTGACTTTCCAATAAATAAATAAATCTTTTTTTAAAAAAGAAAAAGAAATAATGTTAAGTCTTAGAAAATAGAAAAACAGTTGTACTCAAATTAGGCAAAAGAACAAGCAGGAAACGGTGACTAGTGTCAATTTTATTTGTAAAAAGCATTTCTGTATCAACAATACTAATCTTCAAGTCTTAAACCCACCCTCAAAAAAACTAAAATTCACCCCATAGATCTAAATGAATTGAAGTGAAATAAAGAAATTAAAAACCAGGGCCCAGCACGGTGGCCTAGCCACTAAAGTCCTCGCCTTGAACTTGCCCGGGATCCCATGTAGGCACCAGTTCTAATCTCGGCAGCTCCACTTCCCATCCAGCTCCCTGCTTGTGGCCTTGGGAAAGCAGTCAAGGACGGCCCAAAGCCTTGTGACTCTGCACCCATATGGAAGACCTGGAAGAGGCTCCTCACTCCTGGCTTCAGATCAGCTCAGCTCCAGTTGTTGCAGTCACTTGGGGAGTGAATCAATTTTCAGAAGATCTTCCTCTCTATATATCTGCCTTTCCAATAAAAATAAAATAAATCTGAAAAAACGAAATTTTACAAAGCACCCAAGGGTCTGCAGCCCCTTCTCCAGGATTCATCACAAGTACTTAGATCAAACCAAGTTTCTGTAGAAACACTGCACATGGGTACAACCAGCTCCACACTGAAGCCGTTCAGCTAGACTGCATTCAGGAAGCGTCCTCCACCCTCCCAGCGGAAGATCACAGACCAACCCCCTCATGGCACTGGCTGTGAGAGCAAAGAGGAGCAATTCACTTAGGCTCTGGCACTTGTGTTCCAGCTCTCAATCAGCAGGGCCCCAGCACAGCCAGCAGCACGTTGAGAGCTCGGCATTGCACCAGAACCACCAGCGGGGCAGGGCCCGGTGTTGCCAGCCCATGGCTTGTCCCAGTGGCAGCCACGATTTCTGCCTCAGCCAAAGTAGCAAGGTCAGCTTGCAGTCCTAAGCCGCACGCTCACACTTGAGATGGGCCAAGTGCAGCTGGGTTGCTGAGATGTACTTCTTTCTTTAGCTTATGTTTCTGAAAAATAGTCAATGATCCAAGCCCTTGGCATTTCTTAGAGCTTGCTATAGCAGGGAAATTAAAGAAAAGGAGTTCCTTGTTCCTCGAGGTTCAGGGTATTCTCCAGATTTTAAACTGGGGTCAACCAAAGTAAGTTTTGTTTTTTCTGTTATTCGGCACTTGTCAGTTGCAATCTTGCTATCCTGTCCTCTTTTACCTCTCCCCTTCGACACCCCACATTTTATATATAAATAAATGTTGTTCACTTTTATTAGGAAAAAGTAATGAGAAAATGTGGAAACGGCAACGTAAACATCCTTGAAATGGACATTTAGCAAGCGATTAAGATGCAGCTTGGGATGTTTTGACTCGCTTGTGAATCAGCTTCTGCCGATGCGGACATGGGAGGCAGCAGGAGATGGATCAGGGTCCTGACCCTACCCAGGAGACTGAAATCAGGGCCCCCTTTCCAGCCTCTGTGGGTTGTATTACATAGGGAGTGAGCCAGGGGATGGCAGAAGGACCCTTTTCTGTTTCTGTGCCTTTCCAACAAATAATGTGACAAGCCATGGCTGGGCTGAAACATCCAACAGCAAGGACCAGTTTGGGTTGAAGGCCAGTCAGGAAAAGCCACTGTTCCTGCTAGGACAGGAGGTGAACTGAGTTGTGCTGGCTCATGGACCCCCTGGTATGTGCAAAATCTGGCATTGGGAGAGGTTCTGATAGAGGGACCTGGGCAACTCCTCTGGCAGGACACAGACCAGGCAGGTAAGCGCAAGAAACATGATAGAAAACAGTCCAGAACAGGCCATGGAAAGTTTCCCACTGTGGCATACATTTGGCAGGGGTTGGGGGCAGACCAGGCTGAATCAGTTCATGTCATCCACTGGCAAATCCAAGCACCAGAACAGTGTGGGTCGAGCCAGGTTCAGTCACGACAAAAACTAGTGCACAATATGGAATGCCAAAGTGAGGTTGCCTGTACTGAATATGACCGCAGCACCCAACCAGCACACATAAGAACAAGGAAGAGAGGGGGCAGAGCTGGCAGGGGAACAAGGGGTGGTTCCCTTGCTGGATAGCTACTCCCACTGGAGAGCGTGAGCTGGGATGGGGGCAGACCAGACTAAGCAGGGCTACAACACCTGTGTGCCTCATGTGGACTAGATCAGGGAAAAGCCAGGCTGGGCTGATTATTCCTACTGGTACAAACAAAATTAGAGTGGGTGAGGGTTGTTTGGGCTTAGCCATAGCATCAGCTGGCAGAAGCTGGCACTGGGGGTCTAATTCTGTCAAGTCAAACCCCAGAACTACCTGGAGAGTGCATAATCTGGAAGTGGGAGAGGCCTGGGAGGGAAATAGTGGGCTCATCCCTCTTGGGTTACCACTTCCATGGGAGGGCATGAAAACTAGGACAGGGGCTGGGGTGGCTAGACAGACACCCAACAGCATCTGTGTGGGCTGCATAGTGGAGCTGGTTAGAGGGAACAAAGCTTTAATATCCATTGACATGTACGTGACAGACTGGACTACTGCTACACATACTGGCAAACCAGGGTAGGGGGTGGGCCTGGTGGGGGTTATTGTGGGTCGCTCCAACTAGGCTGCAGCTTCCACTGGTTTATGCGAGGGCCGAGTATGTGCTGGGCAGAACCAGGCTGGACTGCAACACCCACTGGTTCCAGTGGAAGTCGGGAGTGAAAACAGAACCAACCCAGTGATTGCAACCACCAGCTGCTCAGGGTGATGGACCCTGCCGGGCCCTGTACTTGCTAATACATACAAGAATGTGGTCTGGGGCCCGGCGCGGTGGCGCAAGTGGTTAAAGATCCTCGCCTTGCACGCCCGGGATCCCATATGGGCGCCGGTTCTATCCCCACAGCTCCACTTCCCTTCCAGCTCCCTGCCTGTGGCCTGGGAAAGCAGTCGAGGCCGGCCCAAAGCTTTGGAACCTGCACCCGCGTGGGAGACCCGGAAGAGGCTCCTGGCTTCGGATCGGCATAGTATCGGCCCGTTGCGCTCACTTGGGGAGTGAATCATTGGACTGAAGATCTTCCTCTCTGTCTCTCTTCTCTGTATATCCGCCTTTCCACTGAAAAAATAATAAAAAATAAATCTTAAAAAAAAAAAAAAAAGAATGTGGTCTGAGGACACCTCAGATGAAGTTTCTTTAGGGATCTCCCCAATCGAACTGCTGGACTCAGAACCCTAACCAAGAAAAGACAGAAGACAGAACAAGTCAATCAAACATCTCAGCTATATGTTAGCAAGCGAAATACAGGACAAATGGAGACTCTATGATGGACTATGTCAATCAGTGGATTCTTCAAAGATCTCACAGTGCTTGGAGTGGCAAGACTGATAGTGATTCATAACAGTTGAACTATCAAAACCATTTGAGCAAGAACCTCGGAGCATACCCTACATCCGGGACCTGGGGAGGATGGGCAGTTGGGTGGGCCTTCTCCCTTAATATTCCCCTTTAAGCATGAAAGAAACAATATGGAAATAATAGTCTTACCCACTTTCCTATAGCTCTTGTACCTTTTTACCCCAATTAGCTATGTATAGATTGTCAAAAATATAATTTAAAAAAGGTTAAAAAAAGATTTATTTTGATTGGAAAGACAGATGTACAGAGAGGAGAAAAGACAAAGAGGGAAGATCTTCCCTCGGATGGTTCACTCCCCAAGCAGCCACGATAGCTGGAGTTGAGCCAATCCGAAGCCAGGAGTCAGGAGCTTCTTCCGGGTCTCCCACGTGGGTGCAGGGTCATAAGGCTTTGGCCCATCCTCGACTGCTTTCCCAGGCCACAAGCAGGGAGCTGGATGAGAAGCGGAGACGTTGGGATTAGAACCAGTGCTCATATGGGATCCCGGTGCATTCAACAAGAGGACTTTAACTGCTAGGCCACGCTGTTGGGCCCAAGTTGTTGTTGTTGTTTGAAAGAAGTAATTATTTTTGCTGGAAGATAGATTTTACAGAAAGGAGAGACAACAAGAATGGTCTTCCATCTGCTGGCTCCTCCCCAAATGGCAAGAATAGCTGAAGCTGAGCTGATCTGAACCAGGAGCCTTCTCTCTGGCTCTCCCATGCAGGTGCAGTGCCCAAGGACTGGGGTCATCCCATGCTGCCTCCCAGGCCACAAGCAGCGAAGAGGTGGATCAGAAGTGGAGCATCCGGGACATGAACTGGTACCCATGTAAAATGCCAGCATCACAGATGGTTCAAAGCCTTGGGGCCCTGCACTTGCATGGGAGACCTGGAGGCTGCTGGCTCCTAGGTTTGGAACAGCTCAGCCCTTGCCACTGTGGCCATTTGGGAAGTGAACTAGCAGATGGAGGTTCTTTTTATTTTTTTTTCAGATTTATTTTAATTGTAAAGTCAGATATACAGAGAGGAAGATCCTCTGTCTGTTGATTAACTCCCCAAGTGGCCACAAGGGCCGAAACTATGCCAATCTGAAGCCAGGAGACCGCAGCCTCTGGCGGAGCTCCCACATGGGTGTTGAGTCCGAAGGGTTTGGGCCGTCCTCTATTGCTTTCTGAGGCCACAAACGGAGTTGTTTGGAAAACAGGGCCACTGGGATTAGATCTGGCGCCTATATGGGATCCGGTGCGCCGGGCCCAGCAGGCTCTTTCTAGGTTTTTTCTCTCTGCTTTTCCCTATAACTTTGATTTGCCTTTCTGATAAAAATAAATATATAATCTTAGAGGAAATGACTCTCCTCCTGCACACCCCCACCCCCAGTTTTGATTAGAACAGAAATTCATGAGTGTAACAGAACCCAGACAAGCTGAACTCAGCAAGACTAGACGACTGGGTGGAAAATCAAGTGGTAAAAAGCTTTCCCCCAAAAGAACCAAATGAAGGCCCTGGAGCTGGAAAGCCTGTGACACTACTGAGAGATTCAACTAGGCTATTGAGGCTCATCCTTGTCACATGACAGGCAGAAGGGCCCAAGATTAGATGCTGCAATGCATGATCTTGCAGGACAGTTTCATCGGATTCTTCTGGGTTCAGCACGAACCCTGGACTGAAGTGAGAATGCATGTGTGCAAAAACAGTTGGCTATTGCCAAGGTGAGCGTCTGGGCTTGGTTAGAGGTGATGAATACGGGGGACGAGGGATGCCTTTGTCAGACATGCAGGAGAATCCGGGGATTTAGTGGACAGAGGGATGAAGGGGAGAAAGATTACTCTGAGGAGAGTGGCTTGTGCACCTGGATTTATCGTGGTGCACTTCAGCAGATGGACAATGCTAGAGAACCAAATTTAAGGATAAGACAAATTCCAATTTATTGAGTGTGGATTTAAGGACTAAAAAAAATGTTCAAATGCTATACCGTTTCACGAATGAGTAGGGAGCATACAGAAGAGATTTGGATTGTTTACAAAACGTGACCCAAACTCACAGCCAGCAACGGTCATGCCTGTTGCTGGAGCCAGCAGGATATGTCGCTGCAGGTGCACCGGACTGCGGGGGCGTGGCTTCCATTGTGGCGTATCCAGTGACGCCACGTCACAGGCTTAGCGGGAGGTGGGACGGGAAGCGGGTCGGCTCGGGGCAGGGAGGGCAGGCGACGGAAGTTGTTAAAATGAGCCCTCTTCCGGCGCCGGGGACCGGAAGTTGTGATCCGGCTGAGTCCACCCGGGAGCTGGGGGCTGGGAGTGCGGCTGCAGCCGGCACGATGGGCGGGAAGAACAAGCAGCGAACCAAGGGGAACCTGAGGGTGAGTGCTGCGCGGGTCGGCGCGTGCAGGGTGGGCTGTGTGTGCGGGTGCGGTGGGCAGCAGGTGCAGCCGATGCCGAGTCTCCGTGTCCCTTCCCGGTCCCTCAGCCACAGCCCCCGCCGTGCAGAGCTGCGATGTCCGCCGGCGGCGCGGGGTGCCGCGGGCGGCTGGGGGAGCGAGCTTGGGGTGCAGCTTGGGGTGACCCTCCTGATCAAGGCCAGCCTGCTTCCAGGGCTTGCCGTCGTTACTGTCAGTGTCAGACAGACCCTCTGCTCGGCTCCACCGCAGCCATGCTGACATGGCGGGGTCTGTTAGGTTTGCTCTCTGCAAAGCCTGTTTCGGGTTTTATTGGACTCCACTGCAGGTGACATTACACCTACGATTGTAGTTGACCATCTAGCTGCACTAAAAAGTGATTTGAAAGTAGGTGTTTACTTCCCACGACTGTAATCTTGGAGCCTGAAACACAGACCGGCATATGGTGCAAGTTCATCCATACTCGTTTTGAGTAGATTCGGGTAAACCCCACACGCTTTGGGATGTTGTGATGCTGTAGATGCAGGGTTTGTGGTAGCGCAGTGCAGTTATTAGGGAAAGCTTCCCCACTGTTTGATTCAGTTCATTGTAGCGCTTTCATCGCTACATTTTCTTGGCTCTGTAACTTGAGATGTTTAACATAATAAGAATGTCAAAGGTTATAGTAATTTACCTTGTGGCCTGTGCGCCTCACCAGTTGCTTGTTGCAATCCTGGTCCTTGTATTCTTTACCTATGCGTAGATTCATGAATTGTTACTGTTAGTCATATTTGCTTTTTTTCCTTCTTCCTAAAAGGCTTATTTACTTGAATTGTGGGCACCATGGAATGATGGGCTGGGCCACTGAGTGTGGTTCTGGTATCCCCTGTGGGCACCAAATTGTGTCCTAGCTGCTCCACTTCCCATCCAGCTCCCTGCTTGTGGCCTGGGAATGCAGTAGGACAGGCCTTGGGACCCTCCACCTGCGTGGGAGACCGGAAGATGCTCCGACTTCCACCCGTGGATCATGGCCATTGGGGATGGAGCAATGAGTGGAAGATCTTTCTCTCTCTGTCTTTCCTTGTCCCTGTTACTCGGACTTTTAAATAAAAATAAGCTAAAATTTAAAAAGGTTTATTTATTTGAAAGGCAGTTAGAGAGAGAAAAAAATTAGTATCCTATCAACTGTTTCACTCGCCAGCTGCCTGCAGTGGCCAGTCAGAAGGCAGCTCTCTGGGGAGCTTTGTCTTGGGCTCCAGTGTGAGACACAGATACTCAGTGCTTGCGCATCTTCAGCTGCTCTCCTGGACACACTAGCAAGGAACTAATAGAAAGTGGCCACACTAGGATTCCAGCAGGGGCTCCTGAAATGCAGGCGCTTCAGGCAGCAACTTCACCTGCTCCTCTCTCTCTCTCTCTCTCTCTCTCTCTCTCTCTCTCTCTCTTTTAAAGATTTATTTTACATTTATTGGAAAGTCATATTTTACAGAGTAAAGGAGAGACAGATACAAAGGTCTTCTGTCTGCTGGTCCACTCTGCATATGGCTACGGTGGCCAGAGCTGAGTGTATTCGAAAGCAGGAGTCAGGAGCTTCTTCTGGCCTCCCGTGTGGGTGCAGGGTCCCAAGGCTTAGAGCCATCCTTTACTGTTCCCGGGCCACAAGCAGGGAGCTGGACGGGAAGTGGAACAGGTGGGACACGAACCAGTGCCCACATGGTATCTCAGTGGTTGCAAGGAACGGGTTTTAGTTGTGAGGCTATCATGCTGTGCCCTGCTTTCTTAATTATGTTTTGCTGAACTGTATGAGTTAATTGTGAAATTGAGACTTTAAATTGTTAAATACTTTGTTTTCTTAAAGTAATGCTTTTTTCCATGTAATCATGAGCAGTTGTAGCATGCTTAGGCTGTAACTTATGCAGTTTTATATTTACATTTTAAAAAAGACTTATTTATTTTTACTGGAAAGACAGATTTACAGGGAGGAAAAGAGACAAATCTTTCCTCCCCAAATGACTGCAGTGGAGCCAGGAGCTTCTGGGTTCCCGTGTGGATGTAGGGGCCCTAGGACCTGAGCCATCCATCACTGCTTTCCCAGGCCATAAGCAGGGAGCTGGACACGAACTGGAGTCCGTCTAGGATGCTGATGTTTGCAGGTAGAGGATTAGCCAATTGAGTCATTGTGCTGGCCCCTGTTCTTAAGTTGTATTTTTTCTTTTTTAGATCTGTTGTGATTTTGATTTGAAAGGCAAGAGTTAGAGAGGAGAAACAACCCAGGATCTTCCATCTACTGGTTCCAGATGGGTACAACAGCTGGAACTAGGCCAGTCTGAAGCCAGGAGCTTCTGGGTCTCCCACACGGGTGCAGGGGACCAAGGCTTTAGACCATCCTCTATTTCTTTTCCAGGCCATAAGCAGGGAACTTTATTGAAAATGAGACAGCTGGGACATGAACTGGTGCTCATCTGGGATGCTGGATCCACAGGCAAAGGCCTAGTGTAATATGCTAGGGTGTCAGCCTCTCAGTTATATCACAGCCCCCTTTTTTAAAAGAAAGATTTATTTATTTTTGTTGGAAACACAGGTGTATGGAGAGAAGGAGAGACAGAGAGAAAAACCTTCCATCTTCTGACTCACTCTGCAGGAGGCCACAAAAGCCAGAGCTGCACCCATCCAGAGCCAGGAACCAGGAGCCTCCTCCAGCGCTCCCAAGCGAGTGTAGGATCCCAGTGCTTCAGGCCATTGTCCACTGCTTTAAGCTGTAAACAGTGAGCTGGATGGGAGGTGGAGCAGACAAGATGTGACCTGGTGCCTGTATGTGATCCTAGCACTTGGAGGTGGAGGACTGGGCAGCTGTGCCATTGCACCGGGCCCCAGTTATAGTCTATAGCCTTTCAGAACCCTTTGAGATTCAATGAAAGATCAGTCACTCATTTATATATCAGTTATTATGACAGTTAGTTTGCAAGAGTCTGAGCCATTTATTTGACCTAATTTAGCTTTGCTAGTTTTTTCCTTAAGATTAGATCTAGGGTAAGTCCGATGCTTGTAGATAGTCTTTCCTAGTGTGTAACATTAGGGATACATGAACCTCTGTCCTATTATTGATGTTATTTATTTCATTACTTGTTTACTATCCTTTATGGAGTTATCTTTTCCCTTGATTGATAAATAATGTGGATTGGTAGCTTGAGAATGAATGTCTGGGTCTTCTTTAAACTTTTACCTATAATTTGGTATTTCTTGCTGGAATAAATTACTGTGATTGTTTAAACCCCTAGATTTAAGATTGATTTATCTATTTGAAAGAGTTAGAGGGAGAGAGACAGTCATGGGAAGATCTAGCGGTGACCAGGGCTGGGCCAGGCTCAAGCCGGGGTCTGTTTCTGGGCGTCCTGCAGGAGTAGCGAGGCTCCAAATATGCAGGCAGATACATTGGCAGCCTTCCACTGCTTTTCCCAGGCTTTTGGCAGGATGTTGGATGAAAAGCCGAACAGCCGGTACGAGAGCTGGCACTGCACCTCTGTGGGATGCGGGCCTTCCAGCTCACGCAGTTCAGGCTATGCCTTGGGTATGTGTAAATGAGTGTGTATGCCTGTGAAGAATTCCCAGTTCACAAACAGCTGTCATTACACTGGTCCCATGCTAATTGCTTGATAAGTATTTGATGAATGAATGAAAACGTGGAATCCATTGGTGAGCTAACTTTACAGCACTGCACAGTTTACCTGAGTTGTATATATTCTATTTATGTGAAAGTTGGAAATAATTTCATAAAAATAGTGTTTATGAAAATTCTTAACAATTTTTAATCGCATTTTAAAATTCTGGCAATACCGATTATGTTGACACAATGAACTGCTAACATTTATTTACACAGTTTATAAATCAGGAAGTAGGCACTGGTGGTGTTTAAAGGGCAAATCTGTCCTGCTGTTGGCATCCTAATTGGGTCCTACTTTGTGTGTCTGCTTCAGCTCAGCTGCCCTTTGACGGGCTGGGAGAAGCACCGGAAGGTGGCCCGAGTGCCTGGGCCTCTGCCAGCCACGTGTGCAGCCTGGATGAAGCGCCTGGCTCTGACCACACTCAACCCTGGTTGTTGCAGGCAACTGGGAAGTGAACCAGCAGAAGACAGATCTCTCTGTTTCTGTCTTTCTCTCACTAACTGTCACTTTTAAATATTAAAGAAGAAGAAACGAGGAAGTAACTCCCCGGACTATTTTGACAGGTTCTCGGTGACAGAAACATTCATCTTTGAGTAAAACTGTGATGAATGAAAGCTTATGTTAGGAAAAAACAGTACCTCAGTAACAGTATTTTTTAAAGATTTATTATTTATTTTTGTTGGGAAGTTAGATATTATATTGTGGAGGAGACACAGAGAAGATCTTCCATCTGTTGATTCACTCCACAAGTGGCCACAATGGCCAGAGCTGTACCAATCCAAAGCCAGATGCCAGGAGCTTCCTCTGGGTCTCCCACTTGGGTGCAGGGGCCCAAGGCTTTGGTCTGTCCTTGACCACTTTCCCAAGTCACAGGCAGGGGGCTGGAAGGGAAGTGGGGCTGCTGGGACACGAACCAGTGTCCATATTGGATCCCTGGTGCATGCAAGGCGAGGACTTTAGCTGCTAGGCTACCATACTGGGCCCTCAGTAACATTTTTTTTTTTTTAATTAATTGCATTGCATTATGTGACACAGTGTTATGGGCACTGGGATTCCCCCCACCCCTCCCCGAACCCTCCCCCCATGGTGGATTTCTCCACCTTGTTGCATTACCACAGTTCAAATTCAGTTGAGGTTCTTTCATTGGAAGTATAGTAACATTTTGAACCATGGGAATTGTTAAGAAATTACAAGTTAAGTTTTGAACTCTTCTTGTGTCTTCTTTCTTTCCAGCCTTCCAACAGTGGCCGAGCTGCAGAACTCCTTGCCAAAGAACAGGGCACAGTTCCTGGGTTTATAGGGTTTGGAACATCTCACAGTGACCTGGGCTATGTTCCTGCTATTCAGGGAGCTGAAGAAATAGACAGCCTTGTAGATTCTGACTTCCGGATGGTGCTGCGGAAACTGTCTAAGAAAGATGTCACAACAAAATTAAAAGTAAGTTTTCATAAAAGTGACCAGAACCTTCTTTTGTTAGAACATGTTGGTCTAGCATATTCTGTATACAAGTGGGTAAACACTCTTTAGTTGCTTTCACATTTCTGCTTTTTCTGACATAATAATACTTCAGCTTACTTGACACCTTCTGGGTTTTAAATTAGTTTATTGCCCGAAATGTTTTGAAGTGATTGAATTTTTTAAAGATTTATTTATTTTTATTGGAAAGTCAGACATATGGAGAGGAGGAGAGACAGAGAGGAAGATCTTCTGTCTGTTGATTCACTCCACAAGTAGCCGCAATGGCCAGAGCTGCGCTGATCTGAAGCCAGGAGCCTGGAGACTCTTCCAGGTCTCCCACATGGGTGGAGGGTCCCAAGACCTTGGACTGTCCTCAACTGCCCTCCCAGGCTACAAGCAGGGAGATGCTTGGGAAATGGGACCTCTGGGAATAGAACCAGCACCCATATGGGATCCCGGCCACTAGGCTACCTTGCTGGACCCTTTCCATCAGTCTTTCCATCAGGAAATGTGATTCTGGTTCTTTTTTAACCGTTTTTTTTTCTTTTTCTTTGCATGCATTTTATTTTTGTTCTTGGAACCATTGGAACCATTTCTTGTTCTTGTCCAGTGGACCCATTCCTTCCATGGTTATCCATGAAGGAACTCTTCAAATTAATCCCATATGACAGAAGTATAAATAATGTGTTGTTCTTGCTGTATGACACTCACTAGGCTTCCAAAACAGAATATAATCGGTTGCCAGCATCTTCAATGTTACTGGTGTGTTAATACTTTCAGGCTATGCAGGAATTTGGAACCATGTGTACAGAGAGAGACACAGAAGCAGTGAAAGGAGTGCTTCCGTATTGGCCAAGAATATTCTGCAAAATTTCACTTGTGAGTATTAAGAATTTGCGCGTTCTTTGGTTGAAGTCCCAAAGACTGTGGGGTCGAAGGGCTCCGTTTTGCTCAGGGCTGTGGCGTGCCGTCAGCACCGATCCTGCGGACTGCGTTGCATTGATTTGTGGAGTGTGTGGAGCGTGTGTTCACAGATGAGGTCATTGGTACAAGTCCATCCAGATGCTTCCCAGCTGTCATAAATCTTGGCAGTAGTTTTAGTCCTTTGCCTATGTGCTCTAAGAAAATGAGAAGGAATGGAATCTAATGTGAAAATATTATTAAGGAAGGCAGAAAACAAGAAATTATATTTGAGGAATAAACCTCAAGTTCTTGATCCTTGAAAACATTGAGTGTAGTTTTACTCTGTACATAGGCAATTCTTGGTAATGGGCTGTTGTTGCATGCCTAGAAATAAATGAGTTTATTTTTCTATTGCATTTCTTTATGCCACATTTATGTTTTCCACAGGACCACGACCGCCGGGTTCGAGAGGCCACGCAGCAAGCTTTTGAAAAACTTATCCTGAAAGTAAAGAAACACTTGGCTCCCTATTTAAAAAGTTTGATGGGCTATTGGCTCATGGCTCAGTGTGATCCGTACTCGCCAGCCGCGTTTGCAGCGAAAGACGCATTCGAAGCGGCCTTCCCTCCAACCAAGCAGCCTGAAGCCATAGCATTTTGTAAAGATGAAATTACCACTGTAAGTTTTGGGAGCCATTCTGTAATTTTGTTTTTTAAATATTTAAAGAATATAAAGCATAATACAATGACAGTTCTGTTAGCTGCCATTGTAGAAGAATGAGTAAGTCAAATGCCATTTTTTTTTCATAATGTTTGACAAAATTGACTGTTTTTAACAAAATGTGTGCCTTACTTGGAATGTTTATCTAGTCGTTTCTTAGAGCTTTTGTTTTTATAAATTTATCATGTATTATCTAAAGATTTAGATATATGTGTGAAGGGCCATTTGGATATTTAGAGCAGGTGAAAATGTAAGTTTACAAATTAGTTTGCTATAGATTTAAGGAATTTAGAGCCCTGCCTGTGGTAGCCCCTGGCTAGGCCCGCCAGAGTGCTTTTGTGGCCCTTAAACAACTTGCCAGTCAGACACCTTGCATCCTAGCGTGTACAAAGTAAATCTCAAATTATTTTCTCCATATTTCCATGTCAGTGTATTCTTTTAGTTCGCTGTTTACTGCTTCTTTATATGAGAAGATACAGGGTACTTGAAAAATGAGATGAAAAGTTTTATGAGGGAACAAGAGGTGTTGAAATTTGTGCATAGTTTTTCATGAGTTACTTTTACACAAATTCTTTAAAGTCCCCTTGTGCAAGGGTTAAACTCTATATATGACTGGAGAATTGAATTTTTCTCAATTGTTTCTAAAGATTTATTTATTTTGATTGGAAGTTCAGGTATACAGAGAGGAGGAGAGACAAAGAGGAAGATCTTTCCACTGCTGGTTCACTCCCCAAGCGACCACAATGGCTGGAGCTGAGCTGATATGAAGCCAGGAGCGGGGAGCCTCTTCCAGTCTCCCACACGGGTGCAGGGTCCCAAGGCTTTGGGCTGTCCTTGACTGCTTTCCCAGGCCACAAACAGGGAGCTAGATAAGAAGAGGGACTCCCAGGGTATGAACAAGTGCCCATATGCTATCCTGGTGCATGCAAACTTCAGCCACTATGCTACCGAGCTAGGCCCCTAATTTTTATTATATGAAATTTTGATAAGCATCTTATTAAAGGATTCATGTATTTATTTGAAACTCACAGGTGGATGCAGCAGCTAATATCTGTGTCACATGTGCAGCAGGTGCCCAGGCACTTAGCCCATCCTGCACTGCCTTTTTCCCTTCCTTTCTTAAATAAAATGTATGAGTGATTCACAGAGACAGAAAGCAGGCTTCTGTCTGCTGGGTCACTCCCAAATGGCTGCAGTGACCAGGGTGAGGCCGGTCTGAAACCAGGAGGGTGGAACTCCTGCGTTTGGGTTTCCCATAAAGGTGGCAGGGGCCCAGGCACTTCTCGTGCCTTTCCAGGCACATTAGCAGGAAGCTGGATTGGAAGTGAAACAGCTGGAGCTCGGAACACCCTGATGTGTGATGCTGGCATCTCCCAGAGTGCCACAACTCACTGGCATGGAACAGGGCACAGGAAGCGTCCTCCTGTATGCGTGGGTATCCTGGCAGAGTCATCTCAGATTTACTGTGGAGTTTTTTTCTACTCAGCTCTTCTGTGCAAGAGAAAAGAGGAGTAAGTGGCCAAAAGCAGGTAGAGAAAATTTCTCTTGATGGAAACAGGAGGAAGTACATTATCTTTGCCTCAGGAGCATGGGGCTGGTACCGTGGGATAACAAGCTAAGCTTCTGCCTATTACTCAGGCATCCTGTTTGGCTGCCAGTTTGAGTCCCAGATGTTTCACTTCCAAGTCAGCTCTGTGCTAATATTAAACTGGGAAGGCAGGAGAAGAGGGTCTGAGTGCTGGGGCCGCTGCACTCGCCTGGGAGACCTGGAAGACGCTGCTGCAGCCGTGTGGAGAGTGTAACCCAACAGATGAAAGGTCTCTCTCTCTGTCTCTGCCGTTCAAATACAAATAAAATAAATCTAAAAAAAAAATGCAGCTTGATAGAAAAAGTAACACAGATAAAATTTGAATCTTTTAGCTTCTCTGTGTGCTTTTGCTATTTAGCAACAGATGAGGGAAACATACAGACAAAAAGAATGCTTCAGTGTGCTTGTTCACTTCTCAAGCACCAGCGAGTTAGGACTGCAGCAGGCCGGAGCTGGGAGCTCATCCCAGGTGTCCCCTGTGTGGCAGATGCACAACTTCTTGAGCCATCACTTGCCATCTTTCTATTTTAACAGGCAGGTGAACTGGTGATAGAGTCAGTACTGGAGAACCGGGCAGGAATATGGGCACTGCAGCTACTGGACAGACACCTGTCCCCTGGAGGCCCTGGGGACTTGTTAACTGGCTTTGCTTAACTTTGCCCTATTCATTCCCCATGAAGAATCAAGGCCTTGTTATTTTTCTCCTGGTGTAGGTGCTGCAAGATCATCTCCTGAAGGAAACCCCTGACACCCTCAGTGACCCACAGTGAGTTTCAGTGTTCATACGTAGCCAGTGTTAAAGGTTTGTTTCACTTCTAAGCAGTCATGGTAATGTCGGTGGGATTTATTTTTTTTTTTTTTAAGAGAATGATTCTAAATATACAGCTGAAAATACTTAATGTAATGCCACATGGCACATGCTATAGTAAGTACTTTTATTTGCAAATTGACCCGCAGTGTAACTTGGACTTTCAAGAAGGTACACATTTGGTTCTGTTACAAAGAGATGTTTTAAATGTTTCCTACATGCTTTTGTGTATAGCAGGAACTTTTTTGAAATCTGGCTTGAAGTAGTTGTACTACAAGCAGTTCCGAAAGAGAAGGGAAATATTTTTCTTTCATGCCTTCTATTCTAATCAAACTTAGAAGAATCCATAAGATAGAGTAGATGCTAGATATATGTGTTCCCGAGGATAAGCTTGGTATGTGCTGTTGAAAGTGGTGTACTAGATCATGTTTTCTAAGCCACAGCTCTTCATCTGTTTTTAGACTATTAGGAGTAAGTAATTAAAATCAACGTTGATTATCTTACAAGGAGTTGCTAGAGAACAAATAAAAGAATAAAATAAGGGAACTGTATTACATGTTTAATGATGACAAACATATAGTTACATATATGTATATATTATGTGTGTATATGCACATGTATACATGCATACATATGCCTGTATATACCAAGTATGTAGTTTGGCTTGTTCTCAATCTTGATATATGTTCTTTTTTTTCCATCAAGAACTGTCCCTGAGGAAGAAAGAGAAGCTAAATTCTATCGGGTTGTGACTTCTTCCTTATTGGCATTAAAGAAATTGCTTTGCCTTTTACCGGATAGTGAACTTGACTCTCTGGAGGAGAAATTGAAATCTCTGCTGTCACAGAACAAGTTCTGGAAGTATGGAAAGCACAGTGTACCCCAGGTATCTTCATTCTTTCAAGGGTGAAAGGCATTTGTCTGGTTTCTTTTAGCTTGTTCTTATTGGCTTACTTTATGCTTTCTGTGTCAAAGATCTGTAAGCATGTCTTTCTGGTGACTCATTCAAGAGTGGATTAAATTTTTTCTATTTTAATTTTTTAGATTTAGTTTGAGCCTTAGGTATCAGTCTCTTTTGTCCCTTAGTACTGTTGGTGTGCTCAAGGCTCTTTCTTTCTTTTTTTGTTTGTTTGTGTAAGAGAAGCTCATTTATTTATCTGAAAGAGTTAACAGAGAGGGAGGGAGAGACACAGTGAGAGACCTCTTCCATCTCCTCGTTCACTTCCCAGATGGCCACAGTGGCAAGCCCCGGCCAAAGCCAAGAGGAAGCATAACAGGCCATCTTCTGCTGCTTTCCCCAGGTCATGATCGGATTTGCTGGGTCTGAGACAGAGCCACCAGGGCGTGAGCCAGCACAACACTGGTCCAAAACGACACCTTTCATTTCATGTAATTAGTTTTCACTGAATCCCTGTCTGTGCATTTTCTTTTTCTCTTTTTTTAAGCATTATTTCTATGGAAGCTAGGATTCTAGAGAGATGGGGGAGAGAGAGGGAAAAAAAAAAAGAGAGAGAGAGCGATATCTCCTGTATCCACTGCTTCACTCTGAAAATGGCCATAATGGTTGGGGCTGGGGCAAACTGAAGCTGTGAGCCAGGAGTTTCATCCAAGGGGCACATGCATTTAGGCCATCTTCCACTGCTTTCTCAGATGCGTTAACAGGAAACCAAATTGGAAATGGCACATCTGGGACTAGAATCGGCACTCTTAGGGGAAGCTGGGGTTGCAGGTGGCTACTTTACACACCGTGTCGCTGTGCTAGCCTCCTCACTCTGAATTTACCCTCTCCAGCAGCTGATGGAATATTTTGGACATATGTCCTTTTGTTTATGTAATTGATTCTCGTTATTCATTGTAATTATGTTCTAAAGTCCTCATAAAGATGGTGCTATGGCATGATAGCTAAGCCTCTGCCTGTGGTGCTAATATCCCATTGGCTGTGGTTCAGGCCCCAGATGCTGTGCTTCCAGTCAAGCTTTCTGCTATGGCCTGGAAAAGCAGAAGATGGTGGCTGAAGTCCTTGAGTCCCTGCACCTGTATGGGAGACCCAGAGGAAGCTCTTGGCTCCTGTCTCAGATTGCATCCGTTCTGGCCATCACAGCCATTTGTGACCCAGCAGATGAAAGATGTCTTTGTGTCTCTCCTGTCTTTGTAACTCTGCCTTTCACATGAGAGTAAAATAAATCTTGGGAAGAAAAAGTTCCTATGAACACTTAGTTATTGGATTATTGCTGAAATAGAGGAAATACTGTTCTGTTTTAGTCAACTGATCCATATATAATGTTTAAAATACTTGCTTATCATTCATCTGTTGATGTTAAACTCATGAATTAGTACACTGAAGGCTGCACATAGCTTATCTCATGCAAGGCACGTCTCGGCCTTCTTATACTTCAACTCAGCAGGTAAAACAACACAGATAGGCCATTTAAGTCAACAGATCATCACCCAAAAGCTCAGTAGCTTAAAAACCGAGGACGCAGTGTAAACGGTGCTTGTTTCTGTTGTGAGAGTTGAAACATAAAGGTGGAGCACTGTCTTCTCTCCTTTGGGATTACGCATGTTAGTGGCTCACATTTTGTATTATTCTGGGCATGTTCACAAACTATGCTAAAAAACTGACTTTTGGGCCCAGAACGGCAGCCTAGTGGCTAAAGTCCTTGCCTTGCACATGCCAGGATCCTGTATGGGTGCCGGTTCTAATCCCACTTCCCATCCAGCTCCCTGCTTGTGGCCGGGAAAAGCAGTTGAGAATGTCTCAAGGCTGCACTTGCATGGGAGACCTGTAAAAGGCTCTTGGTTCCTGGCTTTGGATTGGCTCAGCTCCAGCCATCACGGTCACTTGGGGAGTGAACCAGTGGATGGAAGACCTTCCTGTCTCTCCTTTTCTGTGTAAAATCTGACTTTCCAATAAAAATAAATCAATCTTTAAAAAAGATTGTGACTTGATACTGGGTTCACAGATTTTAGAAAGTGGGTGATTTTTTCAAAAATGGAAACTTCAAAAGTCGGGCTGCAGATGTTTTTGAGACCCGAGCCTTTATGTATGTTTTTAATTTAGTATCGGAGTTTGCACTGAGCCCTCAGTACACTGTGGTGCAGCATCTGAATGGCTGCAGCAGGTGCCTGCTCTGGATTCTGTCTTGGTAGAAAACAGGATCTGCTCAGGTCACCAGAGCAAGGAACTGTAGACTAGTATGTAAGTGATAGAAATGTGTTTTTCACAGCTCTTGAGACTGGGAGGTGCAACATCAAGGCACCAGCAAATTAATTTTCTCATAAGGACGTGCTTTGCTTGAAAGATGGTGCCTTGTTGAGTTGTCATAGGACAAAGGGGTGGGAAAAGGACCATAATGCCATTCATGAGGGTGGAGTCCTCCAGACTCAGTAGCCTCCCCATGGCACCACCTGTTCTTGCTGTCGCATTGGGGAGTAAGTTTCAGTATCTGGAGGAAAGCACTGCTCTGAAACTGAATTGAGTTTTGCATTTTAATTATTCACTTTTAGCTTAGGAATTGCACTTTTTTTTTTAAATCTGAAAAGCTGCTTCCAGATTTATTTCCATGCAGATTAAAAAATTTTTTTGTTTTATTTTTAATATTGTTTACATAGCTGAGAGGGATGCACACCCATGTGGCCCTCTGGTTACTCCGATTAGGGTGCAGGAAGTTGAGGTATGGAGGAAGGTGGGTGGGACAAATGCTTGAAGTTTGTGTGTGTGTGTATGTGTGTGTGTGTGTGTGTGTGTGTGTTTGTGATCTTAGAGACCTTGATTTGGGGAAGAATATTCTCAAGATGTTAGTTGAGCTGAACAATTGTGTTAGTTCTTAGACATTGTTAGCTTTGTTGCAGGAAATCTATCAAAGGTCTGTTGGCTGACCAAGTCCACCTTAGTGCATCCACAGACCCAGACACTTGCTGCAAAGCTTGGCCAGGAGAGTTGTCCAACCTGTTCTGCTTTCCATCCTCTGATGAGACAGTTGCTGTGCCCTGCTGTCCTAGATGAGCTAGTGGTCCTGTCCCATTGTGCCTCTGGACATGTTTGTCCATTGCATGGGCATCAGCAACCGAGGAGGCCCAGTCCCAGGACCTGTCAGCGCAGACTTTTTAAAGTTACTTTTTAAATATAATAAATGTTGTTTTATGGTAGTTGTATATATCTGTCATGTAGGGTTATGTGACTGATAAATCTAAAATTTGAAATCTTTTGGATTTCTGCTATTTGTATTACTGTTAGCCGTGGCTCATGGTGCCTCAGCTTTTGTTAAGTGATTGTGGTAATTCCAGAAGAAGGCTTCCTGAAACTAAACATGTTTTGTACTTGTTTTGCCAGTGAAAGAGAAAATCCAAGTAATCCTTTCCAATTTCACATTTGCTTTAAAGATTGCTATTGTCTTTTTAGCCTTTTGATGTTCTTATGAAGATTTTAAAAAGCGTTTCAAGCCCTTTCAGTATTGTTAGTGGGGAGTTAATGCGAGTAATCCGACCATAAAGCATCTTGCAAGGCTGTCATTTAATTCAGCTTTGTTTCTTTCAGATCCGCTCAGCTTATTTTGAGTTAGTGTCTGCTTTGTGCCAGCGTATTCCACAGTTGATGAAAGAGGAAGCCTCCAAAGTGAGCCCTTCAGTTCTACTCAGCATTGATGACAGCGACCCCATGGTGTGCCCGGCTCTCTGGGAAGCTGTCCTCTACACAGTTACAACTATTGAGGTATGTGGAAGAGGCACAGTTACGCAGTGAATACTCCGCATCTTATGTTTCAGAACCCTTAGATACCACACAAGACAGAACTGATTATGATGTTTAAAACTCACTGGGGAAAAAAAAAAAAAAACCTGCTGTCTTAGAACTAGGCTATTTGGGAGCTGGTGCAGTGGTTCAACCAGTTAATCCACTGGCAGCACCAGCATCCCATATGAGCACCAGTTCATGTCCCGGATGCTCCACTTCCCTTCTAGCTTCTTGCTTGTGGCCTGGGCAGTGTGGAAGATCCTGCAGAAGCTGCTGGTTGCTGGCTTTATGTTGGCTTCGTTGTGGTCATGGTGGCCATTTGAGGATCAAACCAGCAGATGGAAGATCTCTGGTCTTTCCTTCTCTCTGTAAATCTGTCTAAAAAAAATCTTAAAACTAAGACACTTGAAACAAAATGCTAATTAAAGCTTGTTGTAAAGCTTAAACTGAATATAAGATGTAGTTTGTATGTTGCATTGCATTTGCCAGTGTTAACAGTCACGTGAAGTGTATGTGACCTCATGGGGTCTCCCCTACAGATTCCTCTAGTACCCCATTGCCGGAGGGGATGAGCCTGCTGCCCGCCACCCAGCCTCCCGGCCCGCGAGAGACAGACGGACAGGGCTTCTGTCTAAGCAGTTCCGATTTATTGGGGAAATTCAGTTTCTGTAGGGTAAGGGATAAGCCTCAGGCCAGGAATTTCAGGAGTTCCAGGAGGGGAGAAACTAGGAGCCAATTACTAGGAGCAGGATTGCGGAAGCCACCTCCCATAGGCCAGGGGTGGGTGAGCGAAATGGCCCTGGACAATCAGTCTTTCTTTGAAACGACTTGACCCCTGCCCTGGTTCAGGCCCAGGGCTCTGTCCTTGGCCGCCATCTTGCCTGCTGTAACCCAGTGACCTTGACCGTTAGTCACCATGTTATTGACTTAGTGACCTCTTTATCCCTGAGCCCCACATGACCTGAGGGAAAGGTAAAATATAGCTGTCCCTGTTAGAAAGCGGCTTTTTTGTCTCTCATTTTAAGGCTCATTTATTTATTGAAAAGATAGAGAGATCTTCCTTGTACTGGTTCACTCCCTGATGGCTGCAATGGTCTGGGTTGGGCCTGAAACTGCACAGGAGTCTGCCATGTGGGTGGCTAGGCCCCAAGTACCTGGGCCATCTTTCACGCTGTCCTAGGTGTGTTAGCAGGGAACTGGATCAGGCGTGGAGAGGCGGGACTGACTGCATCTCATATGGGATGCAGTGTCTAGGTCAGGACGTCACTGGTTGTGCCACAGTGCTGGTCCCAGTCCAGTATTAATGAGCAGCATTATCCTGTGGGCATGTATAATGTATCGTTATCATTTATAATATTCATAATGTCAGAATTTTAGTTTTTTTTTTTTAAAGATTTATTTATTCTCATTGGAAAGGCAGATATACAGAGAGGAGAGACAGATGAAGATCTTCTGTCTGATGGTTCACTCCCAAAGTAACCGAGGTGCTGATCTGAAACCAGGAGGCAGGGTCTTCTTTGGGGTCTCCCACATGGGTGCAGGGTCCCAAAGCTTTGGGCCATCCTACACAGCTTTCTCAAACCACAGCAGGGAACTGGATAGGAAGTGGGGTGGCCAGAGTATGAATTTTAGTTTTTAGTAGAGGTGAGAGATTTTCCTTCTAGATAAAATACTTTTTGCTTTTATTTTTGACTCTGTGAATTGTCTCTTTTTTTTTTTTTTCTTAAAATTTATTTATTTTATGGGAAAGGCAGATGTACAGAGAGGAGGAGAGACAGAGAGGAAGATCTTCTGTCCGATGATTCACTCTCCAAGTGAGCTGCAACGACTAGTGCTGTGCTGATCCGGAGCCAGAAGCCAGGAGCTTCCTTCCGGGTCTCCCACACGGGTGCAGGGTCCTAAGACTTTGGGCCGTCCTTGACTGCTTTCCCAGGGCACAAGCAGGGAGCTGAATGGGAAGTGGAGCTGCCGGATTAGAACCGGTGTCCACATGGGATCCTGGCGCGTTCAAGGCGAGGACCTTAACCATCACGCTATTGTGCCGGGCCCTGTGAATTGTCTCTTAATTGAGAAAATCTGCTTAAGGTCTTTAATTGCTGATAACAGTCTTTTCTTTGCTTAGGACTGTTGGCTTCATGTAAATGCCAAAAAAAGTGTGTTTCCCAAGCTGTCCACTCTGATTCGCGAGGGTGGCCGGGGCCTCGCCACTGTCATCCATCCCTACCTTCTGCCATTCCTCAGCAAACTTCCTCAGTCCATCACAGATCCAAAGCTGGATTTCTTCAAAAATTTCCTCACATCTCTTGTTGCAGGGTAAGGATTTAACATTCTTTATTTTTAAAGCAAGATGTTTGTTGTTTTCATATGTAAGTTTTTACAAATTACTTTGCTATTCATTACACACTGAAAAGTTTTCAGAGAATTATGATTATAATCCTGTTTTGGATACTTTCAGAACTTAAATACTACCAAGAAAGGTAAGTATTATAAGGTAGCTGCTAGGCGAAAATAGTCCAGTTTTAAAATTTGGAAATAACAATGCGTAAGTGCAAAAATGCAATCCAGTGAAGTTTTAAAACATTCCATAAAGCAAAATAATGCTGTTCAAATTCATGCTTGGAAAAACTCAGTGCATTTATTGCATTTGAAAGACAGTTTTAGCAATGATTAAAATTCTAAACATTTTAAAGTTAACTTAAATGACAGGCAGCCCTGCCATTTACTGGTTCACTTCCCAGGTATATCTGTTAGCTGGAGCAGGACTGAGGTGAAACAGGAGCCAGGGTTTCGGCCCTCGTCTTCCCTGTGCGTGGCCTGGACTCAGCTGCCCGCAGCCGTTAGTGCAGTCTCGCAGCCTGCGAGCGGGGAGCTGGAGTCCAAAGCCACCAGCACTGTGTAAGGACTGGGTGCATCTTGGCAGGCAACTTAGCTTAGGTCAGATGCCTGCCTCTGCCCTGCACTCCACCCCAAACCATTCCCCATTTGATTAAATCTTCTCCGTCAAAGGCAAAATGTCATAAAACACATAGTCTTAGCTTTTTCTGATAAATTTTGAAAATACGATTTTTCTCCTCCTTAATATTTTCTCATTGGTCTGTTAATATATTTTGGTTGTTCTTAGCCTATGAGGCTTTTAGTTAATTTTTAAAAGATGTATTTGTTTGAAAGGTAGAATGAATAGAGAGAGGGAAACACAGAGAAGGATCCTCCATCTGCTGATTCATTCCTGAAAATGCTGCAATGGGCAGGGATTGTTCCTGGATCCAGTAGCTTTTTCTGGGTTCCCATGTAGGTGGCAGGGCCCAAGTACTCCGACGCTCTGCTGGTTTCCCAGGTAACGTTCACAAAGAGCTGGGTTGGAAGTACAACTGCTGGTTTTTGAACCTGCGCTCATATGGGATGTTGGTATCACAGGTGGCTGTGTAACCGTATTGCACCACAGTGTCAGTTGCAATTATTTTCATTTAAAAAATTTCGTGTTTGGGGCCCAACGAAATAGCGTAGTGATTAAAGTCCTCACTTGAACACACTGGGATCCCATATGGGCGCCAGTTCTAATCCCGGCAGCCTCCCTTCCCATCCAGCTCCCTGCTTGTGGCCTGAGAAAGCAGTCGAGGACGGCCCAAAGCCTTGGGACCCTGTACCCACATGGGAGACCCAGAAGAAACTCCTGGCTCCTAGCTTCAGATTGGCTCAGCTCCAGCTGTTGCTGCCACTTGGAGAGTGAACCATCGGACAGAAGATCTTCTTCTGTGTCTCTCTTCCTCTCTATATATCTCACTTGCCAATAAAAAATAAATAAATCTTAAAAAAAAATGTCCTGTTTGGGGATCACACCTGTTTGTTTGTTGTGTTTAGCATGTCTCTGCTTTATTTTTTGTTTATTTTGTTGTTGTGTTGAAATTTTGGAATGATTTTGTATAGCCTGGGATTTCCTCCCACCCCTGACAGATTTTCTCCATGTTGCTACAATCGTACAGTCTCTCATAAGGACTCAAAATTCCATCAGTCTCTTATTTAAGGGGATCACATCTTTGTAATATCTTTATTTTTCTTTTGTTTTAGTTTTAAATTTTTTTTGAGATTTATTTATTTTCAATGGAGAGAGAATTACAGAGAGAGAGAGAGAGAGAGGTCTTCCATCTGCTGTTTCACTCCCCAAATAGCCACAATGGCGGTGGCCGGGCTGATAGGGAGCCAGGAGCTTCCTGCCCTCCCAGCTGATTAGCAGAGAGCTGGATTGGAAGCGAAGTAGCTGGTACATGAATTGGTGCCCATAGGTTGCCTGTACTTGTGGGCGGGGGATTAGCATGATATGCTACAATGCTGGCCCCTATTTTGTTAAGATTTATGTATTTGAAAGGCAGAGTGACAGAAAAATCTTCCATCCATTAGTTTCCTCTCCAAATTTACCTCTCTGACTGTGGCTGGACCAGGCTGAAGCCACCAGTGTGATGCTCCCTCTGGGTCTCCCTCGTGGATACCCCTGCTGCCCTCCCAGGCAGTTTGTGGAGAGCTGGGTTGGAAGTGAAGCAGCTGGGACTGAATCAGCTCTCTGGTGTTGGATGCCCGCGTCACAGGCAGCGGCTTCAGCTGCTGCAACGCTGCCAGGCCTCCAGTGCCTTTGTCTTGTTCATTTGGGGTTTCTTCTTCTCGAGAGTAATCTACAGTTGTTTATTCTTTTCTAGGCTGTCAACAGAGAGAATCAAATCAAGTGGTTCCGAGTGCTCAGCGGTGATAGCCGCCTTTTTTGAATGTTTGCGTTTTATAATGCAGCAAAACTTAGGTGAGGAAGCGATCGAACAGATGCTCGTAAATGATCAGGTATTTAAAACTTAAAAATCACCTGCGCCTCTGTACACTGATGGTAAACAGACTTATTGCGACTATTCTCAGTTGTTAGCCCGCCTTGTAAAGATATCATTTGTGTAATTCACGAATCGCACAGTGGGCATTTCACTAAGAATTCCATATTGTCATAGCCACTGTAATCCCAATGCCTGAGGACCAGTTAGTCTTTGGATGTAAAACGACTACATACAAAAAAGAATTTGAGGGATGCACCTTGCATTGTTCAAATGCCATCATTATATCACTACTTGTAAAATATTCGAATGTATTTTTGTTGTTGTTGTTAGAATTTTGGCTTGGTTTTTAGAAATAAGACATAGGAATATGTCTTACGGTTTCTACCGGCATACTTTTAATAACAGATTAAAAGCCCATGAGTTGATATTTCAGATAGTTCTCTTATTTTTGTAATTTAAGCAAGAGTTATGAATTTTTCAAAAAAGATTTATTTTTGTTGGAAAGGCAGATATACAGAGAGGAGGAGAGACAGAAAGGAAGGTCTTACACACACTGATTCACTCCCCAAGTGGCCACAATGGCCAGAGCTGAGCCGATACGAAGTCAGGAGCCAGGAGCCACTTCCAGGTATCGCACGTGGATGCGGGGTTCCAAGGCCTTGGGCCATCTCGACTGCTTTCCCACGCCACAGGAAACAAGCTGGCTGGGAAGCGAGGCCACCGGGACATGAGCCAGCGCCCATATAGGATCCCGGTGTGTGCAAGGCGAGGACTTTAGCCACTAGGCTTGCCACGCCAGACTCGAGTTACGAAATTTTGTGGGCTCTGGGTATTCTTCATATTGGCTTATGGTCTCATGTCTTATATTTGTCAACAGTTAAATAGGAATTGCAAAACATTGAGTAAATACAAGATGCAAGACTTGTGATTTTTTAAAAAGATTTGTTTACTTGAAAGACAGAATGGTGGAGGTCTGTGCCTGAAGCACCAGCATCCCATATGGGCACCAGTTTGAATCCCATCTGTTTCGCTTCTGATCCAGATTTCTGTTAATGTGCCTGGGAAAGCAGTGGAAGATGGCCAAGCCATTGGGCCGCTGCACCCACATGAGAGACCTGGAAGAAGCTACTGCCTTTGGACTCTCAGTGTTCTGGCTGTTGCGGGCATTCGGGGAGTGAACCAGTGGATGTAAAATCTTTGTCTCTTCTCTGTCTGCAATTGCCTTTCAAATGAAAATATTTTTTTGTTGTTTAAAAAAGAAGAAGAAGAAGGAAAAAAAACAGGTGATCGAGAGAGAGAAGTGGCTGGGAGCAGAGAGAGGATGAGATCCAGAGAGGCAGAGAAGCGGAGAGGAGAGGGCTTCCATTGGGGAGTTTCTTTCTCCAAACACAATGGCCGGCTCTGGGCAAGAAAGAAACCAGGAGCTGAGAATTCCATCCGTGTCTCCCACAGAGGAGGCAGACCCTCGAGCCCTGGGGTCCTCCAGGGCTGGCTTCCCAGGCATGGAAGCAGGGAAACTAGGATGGGGAGTCTCTGGGACTTGAACTGGCATTACCTGTGGGATGCCAGTGGTCCCAGGCCATAGTTTAACACGTATGATGCTCACCGTTGGACTATGTATTATTGACCAAGACTGTAGAAAAGAAGTAATTCTTATGGAATGTGGTGACATTGTTAAGTTCTTTGTATGATCTGCAAGTTAATGTTTCTTGGAGTTCTGCAGCAGGATTAGTATTTTTCTGTTAATAAATATGAAAGCTTATGTAGTCTCTTTTCCAGAATGATTCGTTTCTCTCCATGACCTTTTCCACGTTTACATTCTTTTTCAGTTGATTCCTTTTGTTGATATGGTTCTCAAAGACCCAGTATTGCAAAATGGGCAACTGTTTCATTGTTTGGCAGAAACCTTAAGTTCCTGGGAAGCTAAAGCAGACATGGATAAAGATAATCAGACAGCTCACGGCTTGGAAAATGTCCTGCTGAATTTCTGGGAACGATTATCAGAGATCTGCGTCGAGAAAATCGATGAGCCAGAAGCTGATGTTAAATCCGTTTTGGGCGTCTGTAACTTACTACAGGTGCTGCAGAAGCCAAAGAGCTCAATCAAGTCCAGTAAGAGGAAAAATGGTAAAGTTAGATTTGCTGATGAGATACCTGAACCTGAAAGTAACAAAGAGAATGAGCAGTGCATGTCATCGGAAGGAGAGAACAGTGAGGCCACTGAGTTAGTGCCTGGGTCTGCTCGTGACTCCTCAGACGTCTTATCTCCTCTAAGGAAAAAACCTTTGGACGATTTAGTGTGTAAGCTCGCCGAGATGAGTATTAACTATGTCAATGAGAAGAAGTCAGAGCAACATTTGCGGTTTCTGTCTACCCTGCTTGGCTCCTTCTCATCAAGCCAGGTGTTTCAAGTGCTTCTTGGTGATGAAAACCGGAGTATTGTCAAAGCCAAATCTGTTGCAATAACCGAGCTCGCACAGAAAAATCCCGCCGTGAAGTTCTTATATGGAAAAGTAATAGGTTGGCTGAGTGAAGAACAAAGAAAGGATTCTGGGTTCCTGGTGGACATTTTGTACAGTGCCTTGCGTTGCTGTGATAATGATATGGAAAGAAAAGATGTCTTGGACGATATCTCTGAGGTATGAGTGTTCTGTATCCTTTCTCTCCCTGGAAAGGCAGAGAGCAAGCAAGCAGAGATCCGGGAGACAGGCTGAGCTCGCTCATTTGCTGACTTACTCCCCGTAAGCACAACACGGTACCTAACACCTGGCCATGCTGAAGCCAGGAGCCGAGAGCTCGAGCCCAGAAACCCCTTTGGGTAACAGGATCTAAGAACTTGAACCATCACTGTTGCTTTGTAGGGTATGCTTTTTAGTAAGAGACCAGAATCAGGAGTGAAGCATGTACTTGAACTTCCCAATATGGCAAGGGGCAGTCTCGGTTGGTATCTCAGCTGCTCTTCCAAATGCCTATACTCCTTACTGTTGTGTTAATTTCGTTTCTTTTTCTTGTAACATTTATTCATTTATTTGAAAGTCAGAAGAGTGAGAGGGGGCAGGGAGAGCTTTTGGATGAGCTGGTTCACTCCTAAATGGCCATAGCCAGAGCAAAGCCAGTTGCGTGTAGCTCCATCCTGGTCCCTGATGTGGTGGCAGGGCTCGCAGCACTTGGGCCATCCTCCACTGCTTTCCTGGGCACGTGAGTAGAGACCTGGAGTGGAAGCTGAATGTTCGTGTGCGATGTTGGGGTCTCAGCTAGTGGCTTAACCACCTTTTTTTGTTTCTTTCTTTTTATTTTTTAGAATATGTTACATAGGCTTATACTTTTTTTTAAAGATTGATTTTTTAAAAAAGATTTACTTATTCTTATTGGAAAGTCAGATATATACAGAGAGGAGGAGAGACAGAGAGGAAGATCTTCCGTCCGATGGTTCACTCCGCAAGTGACCACTGTGGCCAAAGCTGCACCGATCCTAAGCCAGGAACCAGGAACGTCCTCTACATCTCCCAATTGGGTGCAGAGTCCCAAGACTTTGGGCCGTCCTTGACTGCTTTCCCAGGCCACAAGCAGGGAACTGGATGGGAAGCAGGGCTGCTGGGATTAGAACCGGCCCATATGTGATCCAGGTGTGTTCAAGGACGTTAGCCCCTAGGGCACAGCGCTAAGCCAGATTGATTTGTTTTTTTTTTTAATTGGAAAATCAGATATGCAGAGAAGATCTTCTGTTCGCCAGTTCACTCCTCATTGGTCCCAACGGCCAGAGCTGAGTTGATCTGAAGCCAGGAGCCAGGAGCTTCTGGGTCTCCTGTGTTCGGTTGTAGAGGCCCAAGGCATTGAGCCATCCGCAACTGCTTTCCCAGGATACAAGCAGGGAGGTGGATGGAAAGTGGGGCGACAGGGATTAGAACCAGTGCTCATATGGGAACCTGGTGCGTGCAAGGCAAGGAGTTTAGCCACTAGGCTACCGCGCCGTGTCCATGGCTTAATCTCCTATGCCACAGTACTGGCTCCTCCCTTTGTCATCAGTTTTAATAATGGCTGCCCATGAATTATTTTGGATTTCTTTTTTACTGAAGATCAGTTTTAAGATAAGTAATATATTCTTGATTGTAATTTGGGAAGTATCTGATAGTGCTTCATAAATGTTTAACAATACTAGCATGATTAAAAAAAGGGGGGAGAGTTTTTTAGTGTTTGTTCTAGTAGAGTGTTTCTAAATCTTTTTCTTCTTTCAGGAGCACCTACACTGGAATTCTCTTCTTCAGGTTATTGAAAAGGTATCTCAGGAATTTTTTTCTCTGTAATTTTATTCATGAATATAGAGAAACTAAAACCATTGTCATAGTTTCAAGTGGTAAGATGTTTACACTAGAAAACCTCTATGCTATTGTAACGTTTCCTAATTTAAGAAAACATTTGGTCTTTGCCTTACATTCTGTTACTTTTCCGGTTAAGTATATCAGAGAATGTACAAGTTTTGGAAAGTTCAGTGTGTCATCCCTATTTATTTTTATTGCAAAGTCATAGTTACAGAGAGAAGGAGAGATAGGAAGATCTTGCTTTCACTGGTTCACTCCCCAAGTGGCTGCAATGGCCAGAGCTGAGCCGATCCGAAGCCAGGAGTCAGGAGCCTCGAGCCTCTTCCTGGTCTCCCACGTGGATGCAGGGTCCCAAAGCCTTGAGCCGTCTTCAACTGCTTTCCAAGGTCACAAGCAGGGAGCTGGATGGGAAGTGGAGCAGCTGGGACATGAACCAGCATGCATATGGGATCCCAGTGTATTCAAGGCAAGGACTTTAGCTGCTAGGCTACTGTGTTGGGCTGGAATTAATGATTTTGTAGGAGCAGGCTGAGGGATCCATTGCCAACTTAGGAATGTGGTTTACAGACTTGTATTTGTCATGGTAAAGTATCTCTTTCTTGGGTATTAAAATTCCTAGCTAGTGTTTGCCTTCTGTCCTGTGGCTCGCTGCTGTCAGCTACCCCATTTTTTGGCAGCTGTAAAGATTGTTTCATCAGATACATTAGTACCTTGAAATTCCTGGCTTGCTAACTTGACAGAGAATTTTAAATATCTATGCCAGGATTCAATAGGTGTGGTTGAATTTATTAATAAACTACATTAGAAAACCAGTATTATAACCCTCCTAAATGTTAGTGTGTTGTTGTTGTTGTTGTTGTTTTAAATTGAACCTGGTGAAGAAATTTCCTCAGGATTATAAGGCTCATTTATTGGTAGCTCTAGTTACCTACAGTTTTCTTTAAAATTAGAAGAATAAGCAGTTTTTTAGACATTACCCAATCTGCACTTGGATTTTTTTTTTCCAGATTGCTTTGAAATGAGCCAAGTTGCACACTCCTTCCTTCTCAGCCCTTGCAGAGAAGCTCTGGCACCTGGATCAGCATTCTTTTCGGGGTGGATTTACAAGTTCTCTCCCCCTCCCCATTTCATCAAAATAAAGAAGTTACTGTCAGATACCTGGCTTTAGGAACCATTTTTCAGAGAATTTAGGGGTTGACTCCCATTTTCAAATTGAATTTTTACAAAATTAATTAAGAAAAATGTAATATCCTTAGAGTGGTTAAATCTGTCATTTAAGTTCACACACTCATCATTCAGTGAACATGCCTGAAGTGCTGACAGCAGGTGTCAAAGAAGTTTAAGAGTTCTCTGCCCTCCAGGACGTTAAAGTTTCATTGGAAAGACAAGATGCAGACAGGTGAACCTTTACATGTTAATACAGTACAGTAAGTGCTTTAGAAACTCCGAGAAAAGCAGTGATCATTGCAGGTTCCAGTGGATGGGGAGACTTTATAAACATGGCATTTGTACCATTTTGAAGAACGGAAGGGAGTTTGGCAGGAAATGGATGGAATATTTATGGTTGGGAAGGTAGCAGGAACACATTGTGGAAGAGCAGAAAAGCCAGGTTTAATGGGAGACCAGGAAGATAGCGGTTTCCTGGAACCAAGGAGGAGGAAAGGGCGGGGGAATGCTGGGAGATGGAATTGGAGCCATGAAGGCTGGCAAGAAGGTTTTGATCTTGAATCTGACCTTTGTTTCAATCTTATGGTTTTAGGCATGTTCTGGTTCAGATAAGCATGCTTCAGTAACACCTTGGCTAAAAGGTGATACACTTGGAGAGAAACTGGTAACTTTGGCAGACGAACTTTGTAATAAAAAGAACTTACAATCTACTTCAGAATCCTACTTCTCCGAAAAATGGACTCTGCTAAAGTTGGTGTTGTCTCAGCATGTTAAAAATGGTAGGGAAAAATACTGCTTTTGTGTGCTTTTGCTGACATATTACTGATTAAGAATAAACAGGACTTAGTTGGATGTCTTAATTTTGTAAGCATGCCCAATCATTGTCAATCTTTGTAGTATGGCTTAAAAGATAAACCATTTTTTTTTTTTTTAGTTTCATACGCTAAGATTTTTTAGTGTAACAAAGCTACTCCCAGTGATTTTGCAAACTAATGCTATTCTGTATGCAATTTATTTATTTGTTTATTTTTTATTTATTTTTATTACAAAGTCAGATATACAGAGAGGAGGAGAGACAGAGAGGAAGATCTTCCGTCCGATGATTCATTTCCCAAGTGAGCGCAATGGCCAGTACTGCGCCGATCCAAAGCTGGGAACCAGGAACTTCATCTGGGTCTCCCACGGGTGCAGGGTCCCAAGGGTTTGGGCCGTCCTCGCCTGCTTTCCCAGGCCACAGGCAGGGAGCTGGATGGGAAGGGGAGCTGCGGGGATTAGAACCGGCGCCCATATGGGGTCCCGACGCATTCAAGACGAGGACTTTAGCCGCTAGGCCACATTGCTGGGCCCTATGTATGTAATTTAAAATAGCTTTTTTTATCTGTTGGTGTTTATGTGTGACAGGACAGATTGATTTGTTGAGATAATATTCTTCAGTGTAATGCATAAACAGTTCTTATTCTTTTTTTTTTTTAAGATTTATTTATTTTTATTGGAAAGTCAGATATATACAGAGAGGAGGAGAGACAGAGAGGAAGATCTTCTGTCCAATGATTCACTCCCCAGGCAGCTGCAACGGCTGGAGCTGAGCCAATCCAAAGCCAGGAACCAGGAGCTCTTCCGTGTCTCCCACACAGGTGCAGAGTCCCAAGGCTTTTGGCCATCCTCTACTGCTTTCTCAGGCCACAAGCAGGGAGCTGGATGGGAAGCGGAACGGTCTGGATTAGAACCAGCACCCATATGGGATCCTGTGCATTCAAGGCGAGGGGCGAGGACTTTAACCACCACACTATTGCGCCGGGCCCAGCACTTCTTATTCTTAAACACACAGAAAGACCCACCTGTTACTAACTCCAAGTAAGATTTTAAAAATATATGTTAATATTTTTTTCATTTTTGTCTGAACTTTTTTTTCCTCTAGATTACTTGATTGGAGAAGTATATGTTGAAAGAATCATTGTTAAACTTCATGAAAGTTTATGTAAAACAAAGACATTGTCAGAAGCTGATAACAGTGATTCGTCAGTGTCTGTTGTCTGTGACGTGGTCCACAACTACTTCGGCTCTCCCAAAGGGTGCTCGTTAGTGCCCTCGGCTGAAGAGTTACTATTAACGCTCTTTCAGTTGTGTGCTCAGAGCAAAGAAAAAACACACTTGCCAGGTAATAGCAAATGTTTTGTTGGGAATCTCCGCCTCTGACCTTCGTAGTGAGAGTAAGTTTCCAGGCTTTATTAATTGAATCATAATATGTTTCAAAATTTAAAGCATTTTGAGTAAATGACTGCGATGTTAACACACTTTCAGCTTTAGCAAGCACGTTAAAGCTGTATGTGAACTTCATGTCAAAAGAGTTTTGGAAGTAACCCTGGCAGATGAGTTAGAATCTTGGCTCGCCCCCCACATCCCTGTTCATCAGCCTTGGCAAGCTGCTTAATTTTTTAAAAATATTTATTTTTATTATTTTTTTATTAGAAAGGCGGATATACAGAGAGGAGAGACAGAGAGGAAGATCTTCTGTCTGATGATTCACTCCCCAAGTGAGCGCAACGGCCGATGCTATGCATCCGAAGCCAGGAGCCTCTTTTGGGTCTCCCGCGCGGGTGCAGGGTCCCAAAGCCTTGGGCCGTCAGACGTTTATTTGAAAACCAGACTTAGAAAGGAGAGGGAGGAAAAAGAGAAATCTTCAGTGCACTGATTGACTCCCCGAATGGGAATGGATAGGCTGGCGTTAGGCCTGTCCATAACCAGGAGCTGGGAGCTTTTGCCGGGGCTCCCGCGGGAGTGCGGGGACACAGTCCCAGGCCCATGTGCGGGGACACAGTCCCAGGCCTGTTAATAGGGAGCTCGATCAGATTTGGAGAAGCCAGGACTTGAACCAGTGCCTACATGGGCTTTATGCCGGCTCTGAGTTGCTTAATTTCTTGGTGGTTCCACTTTCTCGTTTAACGAATAATAATGTTATATCTCAATTATAGTAGAAAACAAATCAGTGTTGGCTCTTATCACAATGAAACATTATCATTGTGAGGACTATTTTCTTTAATGTATTACTTCAGACTTCAGAAGCACTTGTGAAAAAAATACTCAGAAATATAAAACACTTTGGATAGACAGCCTTTCTTTACCTTTTTCTTTAATGTTTACACTTATGTGAAAGAAGTGTGATGCTTAATTCTTATTATCTCCAAAAGAACAGTTCTTGTAAAGGCATTTGCAGTAGAAAAGCTACTAAAGTTTTACACTTTTAGTTTTACATAGCACAAGGTAGTGTACATATCTGAGTGTTCACAACACTTTTAGTAATTGAATTTTAATTTTATGTTTTCTTATCCTGAGTCCAATTTATGAGTTCTTTCAGATATTTTTTAACAAAGCTGATTTGTGAGATGATAAATTCCTACTGACATCTCGATTTTAGATTTTCTTAGGTGTAAACTGAAAGATACTTGGCTCTCTGGTGTAAATGTGTTGGTCCGTCATGCCAGTGGCACATTTAAGCAAAGCACCTTCCTACGTTCATCTGCTCTGTGGCTCAAGAGTCAAGTTCAGTCTTCCTCTTTGGATATCACAAGGTAAGCTTTTTTGGGCTTAGTTATAAAGTGTCTTTTTGATCACGGTCCTTAAATCGGCTCCATTGTGATGTGTATACCTAAGAAAAATGATTTGTTCTGTAAGAAAACCATAGGACTCTTTAAGAGAGAAACAAGATTTACAAGTCCATTTTGTTGTACTGCTCATTCATTTAAACTGATCGCTTGAAGAATCATTTGTTATGATGCATCAGCAGGACTCCTAACTTGTAGCAGTTTCTGATGATGGTACTGTCCTGTGTAGGGAGCTGGTCTGGAGTGGTGGCCGTGACTTCTCATCTCCACACACTGTTGATTGGTTCTTGGGAAGGTATTCTGTATTTCAAGCTGCTGGAAATACATTGCGAATACATTTTACACATCAGATATGAATTAATGTAACACAAGTGAAAACAGAGAATGTATATTGAGGCTGTTGGGAAGGGGTCAAAGAATCAAGCTCTTTTCAGGGATAAGAGAGCTGTAGCTCGGGCAGATCTGCCTTGAATTGGAATCAGGTTCCCTTCAACCTGAGCTGGAGGCTGCATTTGATTTCCGTTCGTGAAAGCATTCCTGAAGGCCCTGTTTTGACTGTGTGTATCCAAGGCCTTAGGAGCATCTGTTCTCTGCTGTTTTTGTCACAAGTATTGTCATCTGTGATCAAGTATTTCACGAGTGCCAGGGTTCTCAACAGCTAAGTTCTTTCATTATTTTCAGTCTTCAAGTCCTTTTGTCTGCTGTTGAAGATTTGCTAATTGCATTTCTAGAGAGTGAAGATCCCTGTCTTCTGGCAGATTATATTGGAAGTATAATGCCAACCAGCAGTGAATGGGAAAAGATGAGACAGTCTCTTCCTACTCAGGTATGTTGGAAGTTGGAGAGTATAATTTCTGATTTTATGCAAGCTTGGAAATTTTAATTTGCTGGGGAAGAAAAAGAAATTCCAAGAAACGAGCACCTTGCTTTGTGTCTCTGCCTGCCTTGCACCCCTCATGTACTGAGTGAAGGCTGTTTACCAGCTACTGTTTGGATCTGACAGTAGGGAGTAAGGCTTAATGAGTCCTTAGGAAGTTTTATTTAATCATTTCTTTTCCTTAGGGAGTTTTAAAGAGATATAGACTTTGATGATTTCCTTTAGTAGTAAACAAGCTTCTACATATTATAATAACTCATCTTTATTCTCTGAATTATGTAGGTCTGTAAATAATATAGAATAATGATCTTGTATGTAATTTGATGTATTCATTTTACAGTGGTTACACAGACCTCTTTTAGAGGGAAGATTGAGTTTGAATTACGAGTGTTCCAAAACTGAGTTTAACGAACAAGATGCCAAGAGCCTTCCCAGCCATTTGTGTATGTCAGCCTTATTGGGCAAGATGATGTTAGTGTCACTGAAAAAGAAAATAAACCTGGAAAATAGTGAGCTTGAGAAAATAAGTAAGTATCCATGGATATAACTGAAATAATTTTCATTGTGCCACAGTTTAAATCTAAGATCTTCAGTTTCCTATTGATTGTTTTGGTGATAGGAAATGTGAGGTTGGGAAACACTGAAGTTTGTTCTGCTATTAGCTAGGGGTGTAATTTGCTCTGAAATAGGATCCTCGGGTTGGCAAAATATCAAAGTATAAGCAAGTCCTGTGACACGTAACCTAAAGGAAATGGGAAATGAGGCTTTGGCGTTTCACCAAGGATTCTGAATTCTGCTTGATTTTTGAATCTGTACCTTGCTATTCAGCACAATATAATACTTTCCCGACAAGTATAGGTACAAATATTATATCTCCAGAGGAGACAGTTTGTATCAGGGTGTGGCATAGAGTTGTAGGCAGGGGTAGGACCTTGTAGGAGATGGTGTGAAAGGTAGAGCCTTTGGTGAAACCTGTGTGTCTTATTGCTGTGACACAGTAGGGAACAACAGATGGCAGGGCAGAAAGCTGAAATTCTGAATTGCCTCTTGAGATCATTTAGCTGCTTACGTAGTTAGTGCTAAGAAAATAAGCCTACAGTTTATATTGCTCAGAGGGATTCTATCACCACATAAAGCTGAAATTTAAGAGTTTTTGTAATAATTTGTTCTGATTGTAAGTAGTTATTAGAAACTGATAGTTATTTATTCTTCTTACTAGCCTTATCTGTTAGATATTAATTGCTGTTTTAGTTAGCTTTGCTTGATTGGAGCTACCTAGCTTAAAAGGATAGAATTGTATTTTGAATCTAGTCCTATGGCTTCTGACTTTAGCATACACTTTTAAGGAATGTTCAGGACCCGGTGCGATAGACTAGTGGCTAAAGTCCTTGCCTTGCACTTGCTGGGATCCCCTATGGGTGCTGGTTTGTGTCCCGCCTGCTCCACTTCCCATCCAGCTCCCTGCTTGTGGTGGGAAAATAGTGTAGGAAGGCCTAAAGCCTTGGGACCCTGCACCTGCATGTGAGACCCTGAAGATGCTCCTAGCTCCTGGCGTTGGATCAGCTCAGCTCCAGCCATTGGGGCCAGTTGGGGAGAGAACCCACAAATGCAAGTTCATTCCCTCTGTTTGTCCTTCTGTCTGCAAATCTGACTTTCTGATAAAAATAAATGTTAAAAAGCAAAGAATGTTCAGATCATTAATGCATTAGAAGCCTGTGATGAGTCGATCAGAATGGACGTTAGGTCATTTGATGCTCACAGTAGCCCTGTGAGGCAGGTTGCAGTATCCTCAGTAATAATCACGTATGTGTGCAGTACAGTGCTACATCATGCCGTCTCCCCCATCCTGCCACTTGGGCGCACAGTGCTGACCCAGGTGTGGCCTGTGTGTGTTTCCCCTGAGGCAACTTGCTGTCACTTGTGCCAAGATAGTAAGAAGATTGTTTCAGTGTCTAATAAATTAGTTACCCAAGCTCATTCCCCCCCCCCCCTTTTTTTTAAATCTTTACTCATTAGAACCACCAAGTAAGACTTGGGGAGAGAAGAGTGGCATTTTGTGCCACAGGCAGATGTTCTGTTTTCATTATACTAGGAAATTCTTAGTTTTTTTTTTTCAGATTTATTTACTTAAAAGCTAGTTGCAGACTGAGAAGGAAGGAGAGAGAGCGAGAGAGCGCTTTTATCTGCTGGCTCACACTGCTGTTGCCTATGACATCCAGAGCTGGGCCAGGCCAAAGCTGTGAGCTTCATCTGGGTGTCCTGTGTGGGCGCGGAGGCCCACGTGCTTGCCCTGTCTGCCGCTTTCCAGGGCAAACCGGGCTTCCAGGAAGCCCAGGTGAGCGTGGAGCTGCCGGGCCTTGAGCTGGCACACAGGGGACGTTGATGTTGCAGACAGCAGCCCAACCTAATGTGCCACAGTGCCTGCGCCCTATGTGAATGGCCTGAAGGTCATTTGACAAAAAGTCATAGCTACTTCGATGTGAGTACAGCAGTAACACTAGGAAATGGGACGCGGACGTGAAAGTAATTCAGTTGTGAAGTGCACCTGGTGATGTGATGCCTTCCTCAATGTTAGCCGCAGAGCTGCTCTACTCACTGCAGTGGTGTGAAGAACTAGACAACCCGCCTGCTTTCCTAACTGGATTTTGTGAGATGCTTGAAAAAATGAGTATTACATTTGATAACCTACGTGCATTTGGCGATACCTCTGGCCTTTTGCAACTGTTATTTAACAGGTAAGAATCCCTTTAAGTTTCCATTTTTTAACTGATTATTGTTCTTTTGTGTAGCTTTGTCCTCCACAAGCTGGTGATGAACGGCTCGGGGATGTTAAATCATTGGTGTAATTTTCCAGGGGATCTGTTTGGACCTTGCTTCTCTTTTAATCTATAAATTTATGTATTTTTAAAGACTTATTTTATTTTTATTGAAAAGTCACATATACAGAGTGGAAGGGAGTCAGAGAGGAAGATCTTCCATCTATTGATTCACTCCCCAAGTGGCCATAAAAGCCAGAACTGCGTCCGGAGCCTCCTCTGGGTCTCCCATGTGGTGCAGGGTCCCAAGGCTTTGGGCCATCCTTGACTGCCTTCCCAAGCCACAAGCAGGGAATTGCATGAGAAGTAGTGTAGCCGGGATTAGAACCAATGCCCATATGGGATCCAGGTGCATGCAAGGCAAGGATTTTAGCCGCTGGGCTACTTTACTGGGCTCCGTAAGTATTTTAAATGGCAAATGACAATGAAAGATACAAGTGGAAAAGCCAGGACAAGAACCTGCACCCATATGGGACACCAGCGCACACGCAGAGGATTTGCTCTCTGTGCCACACTGGCCCTAGCAGGCAGTGGCTTTGCTTGTTTTGCCACAACATTAGTCCCCAAATTTACTCTGAAGCAAAAGAGAGGTTACATTTCCATACTCTGATTGACAGTCCATAAAAACCAGAGGGTAGATCAGACTAAAGCCAGAATCCTGGAACTCGGCCTGAGTTTTCCATGTGGGTGTAGGGACGCCAGAACTTGGACCATGCGCAGTTGCTCCCTGTGGTGGACATTGGCAGAAAGGCAGCATTGATGGGGCTGAGACTTGAATCCAGGCACATGACTGGTCCGTGTCTTAGAAATATGAGATCCTTTCCCTAAGAGGAGGAAGTTAGATGTGCAAGAGCCTTTGTGGAAATTACAGTGATGAGATGCTTAACTTGTCCAAGTCGTTTTCATCTTCCAGAGCGATTCCTTGCCTGTCTGCCTAGCATGCTTTGCGGTGTCAGGGTGCCCACTTCTTCTCGGGTCCTAGTCTGATTGTGGAACAGCTTGCCTTGGAGGAGGGAAGTTCCGGCCGGCTGTTCGTGTGGCAGATGCCCAGGTGTCCTCAGGGAGATGTCCTTTTCCCACCTGCACCCTCTGGTTCTTTAAGTCTGTTCTTTAGGTTTGTCTCCTAGTGAAACTTGACAGACTTGGGGATTTGCTTGAAGTGAGTACTCAGTTCAGTTGTGGATAATTACTGAAAGTCTGAACTGCCTTTTCTTTGGGTAATTATGGTAGTTGTGTGGTAAAAGTTTTGGGTAAGTTGATGCCTTCAGAAAGCTATTTATTTAATTTTACAACGATTTTTAAAAATATGTGTTCAAAATGAAGTGTAACTTTCTCTTTTTTAGGTCCAAGGAAAATGGAACACTCTGGGCTCTTATTATTGCCAAGTTGATCCTTTCCCGAAGCATTTCATCTGATGAAGTAAAGCCACATTATAAGAGAAAAGAAAGGTATCCTTATCTCACGTGTTGTACTTTGTAATTTATTATTTTTGATCGTCTAACAAATGGATAATCTCTAGTGAATCAAAAAAATAAAGTTTACAAAATGAGCAAATGAAAGGAAGTGAAAAGTAAAGACTTTTTTTTTCCTTCAAATTTTTTTTATTGGAAACGGAGATAAACAGAGAAGAGGAGAAACAGAAAGATCTCTCCTTTTACTCACTCAAGTGGCTGCTATGGCCCAGGCTGTGCCAGTCTGAAGCCAGGAGCCAGGAGCCTCCTCCAGATCTCCCATGCAAGCATAGGGTCCCAAGGCTTTGGGCCATCCTTAACTGCTTTCCCAGGCCACAATCAGGGAGCTGGATGGAAGCAGGGCTGCTGGGATTAGAACCGGCGCCCATGTGGGATCCCAGGGCATGCAAGGTGAAGACTTTAGCCACCAGGCTTCCATGCTGGGCCCAGAAAGTAAAAACTTTAAAACATCTTAAATTATCTTAGATTAGAGGCTCATCTTATTTTTTTCAAACTGACATGTCTAAATTTTCACATGTGCATTATGAAATGATATATACTTGTTTTAAACAGATAGTATTGTGTAAACTTAGCCTTTTCTTCAGAAGTCTCCTTAGTAAAAATCTTTTTCTTCTCTACAGCATTCTTCTGCCACTTTTGCTCTAGGGAACTGGTAGAGAAAGTCACTCTTAAATGAGAATAAGCCTGTTGAAAGATGTTTTGCAACTATAATAAATGTGTACTTTAGACAAAGCAAAACAAGAATGTACATTTAAAATTCGTACTTAGGGTCTGGTACAGTAGCCTAGTAGATAAGTTCTCACCTTGCACACCCTGTGATCCCATATGGGTGCTGGTTCTAATCTTGGCTGTGCCACTTCCCTTCCAGTTCCCTGCCTGTGGCTTGGGAAAGCAGTGGAGTATGGCCTAAAGCCTTGGGACCCTGTACCCGCATGGGAGACCCAGAAGTGGCTCCTGGTTCCTAGGTCCTGGCTTTGGATTGGCTGAGCTCCATTCATTGCGGCCAGTCGAGGAGTGAATCGGCAGATGGAAACTCTTGCTCTCTGTCTTTCCTTCTCTTTGTAACCCTGACTTTCCAATAAAATAAATAAATCTTTCAAAATAACTTTAATAATTAGCTGAGATTTACCCAGAAATGTTTCGGATGTAGTGATCCACCAAGAGAAATTCAGAAGTTAAATGCATGTATGTATCTATTTTGTCTATTATACAATATCATGACAAACAAAATGGTATTTCCTGTAAGCTGTTGAGCCGGCTGACACAGGTTGACAGACATATGAGGTATGTGAACACGTCAGCCCAAATAATGCAGTAGTTTCAGCATAGGATCCCTTGTGTATAAACCCGTGTCACACCTTCTTGTTATTTGTGTGAATGAGAGAATTCACAGTGAGAGGGAGGTAGTCCGTGCAGTGTTACTCCTTGAATCGCAGCCACAGCTGGGGCTGGGTCGGACTGAGGCCAGGGTTTTCCAGGTCTTCTTCGTGGGTGGCAGGATCCCGAGGCCTTGGCCATGCTCGGCTGCTTTCCTGGGCCAGTAGCTGGGAGCTGGATTGGAAGTGGAGCAGCCAGGAGTCAAACCAGTGCCCATACGGGATGCCTCAACACCCGCCCCAGGCAAGATATTAAGGAACGGACAATGTCATAAAATCCATAAAGTAAATAGATATTTGACTGTGTGAAAAGGAAAACTTTTATCTGTCTGGATCAAAAGTCAAAAAACTAAATAATACTCACTTTTAAAAAGGAAAAAAATTCTGACACATGCAATAGTGTTAATGAATCTTGAAAAATCTTACACCAAATGAAGTGAGTCAGTCACAAGGAGACACCTACTGATTAGCCTGTTGATGAAAGTGACCCAGACTGGTTGCAGGAAACTACTGGGGCGTCGGGGCTAGGTTGAGCCCAAGTGCTGGTGGGCCCTAGGCATCCCAGCGGGCGGTTTGACCATTAGGCCACACCGCATTACTTCATCAACTTTATGAAGCCCCTTTTCTGAAGTTTGAGTTACATGTATATTACCTTAATGGAAAACAAAAATCTTTTTTTTTTAGATGAAAATGAATTTTAACAAGATGTGTGTACTCATTTGAAAGGCAGAGGCCAAGAGCGAGCTTCCATCTGTTGGTTCACTCCACAAATGGCTGCCGTAGCAACGTCTTGGTCCTGCCAAAGCCAGGAGCCAGGAGCCAGGAACTCCCTTCTAGTCTTCCCCATGGGTTGCAAGAGACAGTGCTTTGGCTGTTACCTGTTTTTCAGACTCATCAGCAGTCGTGGATTGGAATAAGAGTAGCTGGAATTCAGACCAGCTCCCATATAAGGGACACTAGATTGCAGGCAGTGGTCTAACTCTGTGCCACAGTGCTGAACCCTAAATGATAATTTCTTTATCGTGGAAATATTATAAATAAAGGTTAGAGGGGCAGGTGGTAAAATGGCAGAACCTTTTTTTTTAAAAGATTTATTTATTTTTTATTGGAAAGGAGTATATACAGAGAGGAGAGACAGAGAGGAAGATCTTCTGTCTGATGGTTCACTCCCCAAGTGGCCACAACAGCTGGAGCTGAGCCAGTCCGAAGCCAGGAGCCTCCTCCAGGTCTCCCACTCGGGTGCAGGGTCCCAAAGTCTTGGGCCATCCTTGACTGCTTTCCCAGGCCACAGGCAGGGAGCTGGATGGGAAGCGGGGCTGCCGGGATTAGAACTGGCACCCACATGGGATCCCGGCACGTTCAAGGCAAGGACCTTAGCCGTTTGCTATCGTGCCGGGCCCAACAGAAAATATTTACAAACTAATAAGCAAATGGTGTCTATAACTTATAAATAGCTCTTATGAACTATTAAAAAATCGTTGAAATTGAAAAATGTGTTAAGGTCTTAAACACCAAATTTGTAGATGAAATTGCCAAAGCTAATTCAGTAAATGTGAAATGGAAAAGTATTTGCTTTATTGGTAAGGGCTGCTAATAAAGTTAAAACTAGCATGTTTTTCTACTGTATTACCAGGAATGAAATAGATTTTAAGTGTGCAGTGAGTCACATTTTTACATATTTTTGGTGGAAGTATAAACTAATTATGCTTTTTCATAAAGCAGTTTTTGAAGCTATCAAAATATTAGGACTTCAGATCCTTTGATGTTACCAGCTTCACTTCTGAGGATCCAGAGTCTTTTTGTACATACATGGAAAAGAGGACGTTCAATGCAGCTTTATGTGCAAGAACGAAATTTAAGGTAGAGTGGTGTCCTAAGTGGCCACAAAGAGAGAAGCAGGCAAATGGTGAACATCCGCAGGGTAGACCGTTAAATAGTTTTTTCTGCGTTTTTGTTATGTAACTTTTAAATGGGTTGATTATACCTAAACATCCTCAGTTGAACAGATCTACAAAATATGCACGTGGTAAATAGAGTGGTATGTTTAGTGTGATCCTATTTATGCAACTAAAACCCAAATATTTATTATTAACATTAGTTCAGAAGGTCAGTAGGTAGTTAAATTGAGTCAGTTGAGACAATACACTCATGTTTGCTGGTAGAAGTTTAAGTTCATTCATGGGGAGGAGCCTTGGGGTACGGCCCACATCCCATGTCGGAGTGTTGGTGGGGTCCGGGCTGTTGGGCTCTGGTTCTGTCTGCTGATGGCCTAGGAAGCAGCCCTTAGAAGCTCAGGCCTTTGAGCTCCTGTCCCCACGTGGGAGCTGGGTAGCGCTGCTGCCTCCTAGCTGCAGCCCTGGATATTGCAACCATTTGGTTGCAATATCACTCCACCTTTTAAGTAAGTGAATCTAAAAAAAAAAATCATACGTGGTGGAAAAGTTCTGTATACTCATTTCGAAAACTAGAAATATTCAAGAAAAGGTAATAACAATTGTCTAGGTTCAGCAGTTTAAATCTCTTATCAGTTTATTTTCTTACGCTGTTTTATGTAGTAGAATTATTGATTTTTTTTGCGTAGTTGAATAAGGTTTTGATGGATTGCATATTTAGAATAAATGTAATTCCCATTTCTCTTTAAACAGCTTTTTTCCACTAACCGAAGGTAATCTGCATACCATCCAGAGTCTCTGTCCATTTTTGTCAAAAGAAGATAAAAAGGAATTCAGTGCGCAGTGTATCCCTGCTCTGCTGGGTTGGACTAAAGAAGATCTTTGCAGTATTGATGGTTAGTTTACCGGCGAGTAAAATGTTATTAACTTAACCATTGTTTTGGATGAAAAGGGTTTTACAAGACGCAACAGCAGAAATAAGTTGGATTAGTTCTCAGTTTATGACGCATTTCACTGCAGGAGTGGCTGGTAATATTTTGTAGTACAGACATTCTATAGGCTTCAGGGGAACTTGTCACCCACAAAAAGCATCTACTTGTTTATTTTCCAATGACAAGGGTCTTCAAAATGTTCATGGGAAAAGGAAATTAAAAGTTTGTCTTGGGGTCAGGCGTTTGGCCCAGCCGTCGGGAGGCTGCACGGGACTCCCGGGTCGCCCCGTCTGCTGCTCACTGACGTGTAACCCCGGGCTCCGCAGGTGGCGGCCGCCCGGGCAGTCGGAGCCCTGCTGCTCAGGCGTGAGCTCCGAGCTGGGTGCTGGGCTTCTGGCTTCGGCCTGGCCCAGCTCAGGACTTTTGGGCATTTGGGAAGCGGACGATGACAACTGAGTCTGTCTCTCTCCCTGTCAAAAATGTAAAAAGGGTAAGTTTAAGTGCAAAAAATAAAGAAATGAAGTCCAGTCTTCTCTTAGTATATATGTCCTGTGAGCCTTTTGAAGGCTCCTGTAGAAATCTGTCGCATTCTTTCCTAGCCAACTAATGCAAAAAGCAAAAGAAGAAATATATCTTGTTGTATTCGAAACTTTTTGGAGCACTCTTATTAGTTCATTTGTTGACTAAGTTAAACGCACACCTTCCACAGGACAGTTCCCATTGTAAAGAAGACAGGCATAAAGTCATACTTTGTAACAGCGGATGGTGCGAAGTGATGTTGCGAGTGTGGAGAAGGCAGAAGGGGTGTTTCCACTCTGCTTTAAGGGTGCCAGCAGGAGCGTCCCAGAGAAATACAGAGACAGTTACAGGATGACCAATGATACATGTGGATATAGTTGAGAAAGGCCATTCCAGATACACAAGAACGTCCAGAGGTGCAGATGGTATAGCGTGGGTGGCATTTAAGGGAGAATGTCGGAGGCAGAGGGTGTCAGGATGTGCCAGAAGGTGGCTTACGTGAGATGTTGGGATTCTAAGAGCGGAGACCACAGTTACCAGACATCTTCTTTTCTGTCTTTTTTTTAAACTTTGCAGTTGCTTGCTGTCCTTTTCGGTTTTTATTTGGACAGTGAATGCACTGCACGTGTCCTTTAAGAAAGGAAAAGGGGCATAGATTTGCGTAAAGCACAGTTTCCTTCGCTCGCTGTACTTTCAGTTCATCTGTCTCAGTGGAGCCTGCAAGACTGTTTGTGAACTCCTATATTTTTTATAGGTTCATTTTTTGTTTTGTTTTTCCTTTCTCTTTTTGTGTTATTTATTTATTTTATTATTATTATTTTTCTTAATCACGTTGCATTATGTGACACAGTTTCATAGGTTCTGGGATTCCCCCCCCCCCATCCCCTTGTCCTCCCCCATGGTGGATTCCTCCGCCTTGTTGGTTGTCTTTTATAATTCGTAATCTGGATAGTCTTGAACGTTTTTGACTTCTCAGAGTAGTCTTCATTTCGTGGTAATGGTGTACTTCAAAGATTTTTAAAATTTTCATTTTGAACTTTACTTTAGGAGGTTTTGGCCATCTTGCCATTTTCAATTCTTGTCTGCAGACCAGAAGCATAGATGACGGAGAGCTGTTACATGGGATATTAAAAATAATAATGTCCTGGAAGAAAGAGCATGAGGACATATTTCTTTTCAGTTGGTGAGTGATGCTTGACACTGCTCTGCCTGCTCCCCCATGACACAGTAGGGGCCCAGAGTCTGTGCCTACATTTAGCAGGTTTGTATGAGGTAGTAAGATGATAGATGTTTAAGTCAGTCATTTATAAGACTGTAAATGGAGGCAGGACGTCGTTACGGTTTTACACCACTGCTCGGAACATCCACAGTGGATTGATTCTGATTGACTCAAGTTAGTCAACACTACTGATGAGCTTCAGGCAGCACCTGTGTCTGAGCTGGGTGGAGCTGCTGGTGCCCGCTCTGGGGTTCCCCCAGCCCGTGGCTGAGCTGGGTGGAGCTGCTGATGTCTGCTCTTGGGTTCCCCCAGCCTGTGGCTCAGCTGGGTGGGGCTGCTGGTGCCTGCTCCAGTGTGGGTAGCCCTGCTGATGGGCATTCGGAGGCAGCAGTTGGGTTCCCCCAGCCGGTGTCTGAGCTGGGTGGGGCTGCTGGTGCTCGCTCTGGGGTTCCCCCAGCCTGTGTCTGAGCTGGGGGGGGGCTGCTGGTGCTCGCTCTGGGGTTCCCCTAGCCTGTGTCTGAGCTGGGGGGGGCTGCTGGTGCTCGCTCTGGGGTTCCCCCAGTCCGTGGCTGAGCTGGGTGGGGCTGCTGGTGCTTGCTCTGGGGTTCCCCCAGCCTGTGTCTGAGCTGGGTGGGGCTGTTGATGCCTGCTTTGGGGTTCCCCCAGCCTGTGTCTGAGCTGGGTGGGGCTGCTGATGCCCGCTCCAGCGTGGGTAGCCCTGCTGACGGGCATTCGGAGGGTGAGCCAGTGGGTGGAAAATCTGTTTTCTCTCTCTTTGTCTGTCATTCAGATGAATAAATAAGCAGATAAATCTCTTTTTTAAAGTGTAAAAAGAATACTTTCTACTTGAATGTAAATGTAACTAATGCTTCTTGGTTTCTTGTTATTTTGCTTCTTGTCGTTATCACAGTAATCTATCAGACACAAGTGCAGAGGTGCTCGGAGTGAACGTAGAGATCATCCGGTTCCTGTCCCTGTTCCTGAAGTGTGGCTCGTCTCCTTTGGCGGAGGGTGAATGGGACTTCATTATGTGCTCCATGTTGGCGTGGCTGGAGGTAAGGTAACTTGGTACCGTGTTCCCTCTGTTGGATTTTCGTGTGTATCTGTACAGCAGACCGTTTGCTGATGCAGTCAACATATGGTTGTAATTAGCTCCTTTTAAACATTTAGAACGGAGCAGATCTCCTCCCTACCAGGCACTCTGACAGACTGTAAAGATTGTGATGTAATCATAGCCAACACCATTCACTGCTGTTAAAGCTGCTGCGTCCGTGGAGCTGTGGTTCAGTGCACCAACGCTCCGCCAGTGGTGTCGCAACCCACATGGTTTCATTCCTGCTGCTCCGCTTTCTGTCCAGTTCCCTGCCGATGGCCTGGGAAAGCAGAAGACACCCCAAGTCCTTAGGCCCCTGCACTCATGTGGGAGAAGCTCCCTGCTCCTGGCCTCGGACTGGCCGAGCTCTGGCTGTTGCAGCCATTTCGGGAGTGATGTAGTAGTTGAAAGACCTCTTTCTCTCTCTTTTTTTCTATAATTCTGCCTTTCCAACAAATACAATGATCTCTTTTAGAAAAACTATTCTCTCCATTAACATTTTGCATATGGTTTTTGTTACTTGGTTGATACTGGTAAAATACAAGTTTTGTTGTTGTTGTTGACTCTTTTATCGTAATTATTACCAGACTGATGCGTTACGGCTAGGCAGATGGAGATGTTTTTTATTCCCCAGAGCCATCAGATGCGTGACTTGGGCTCAGACCAGTTGGTGAGGCTTAGTTGGTTTGACTCCTGACCTTGCCTGTAAATGTGACCCTGTTTAAGCTTCAGATTTTTTTTTTGTTCTCCTTCATATATTTTCTTTCTTTTTTTTTTGTTGGTAAGACTCTTATTTTTTCCATATTGCTTCCTTCACGTTTAAAGGGGGGTATTAAGGGAGAAGGCCCACCCAATTTCCCACCCTCCCCAGGTCCCGGATGTAGGGTATGCTCTGAAGTTCTTGCTCAAGTGGTTTTGATATTTCAACAGTTATGAATCGCTGTCAATCTTGCCACTCCAAGCACTATGAGGTCTTTGAAGAATCCACTGATTGACCTAATCCATCATAGAGTCTCTGTTTGCCCCGTATTTCGCTGCCAAGATATAGCTGAGATGGTTGGTTGACCTGTTCTGTCTTCTCTCTTTTCTTGGTTAGGGTTCTGAGTCTGGCATTTTGATTGGGGAGATCTCAAAAGAAACTTTGTCTGAGGTGTTCTCAAACCAGATTCTTGTATGTGCTAGCAAGTACAGGGCCCGGCACAGTCCATCACCCCAATCAGCTGGTGGGTTGGTTCTGTTTTCAGCCCCGACTTCCACTGGAACCAGTGGGTGTTGCAGTCCAGCCTGATTCTGCCCAGCACATACTCGGCCCTCACATAAACCAGTGGGAGCTGCAGCCTAGTTGGAGCGACCCACAATAACCCCCACCAGGCCCACCCCCTACCCTGGTTTGCCAGTATGTGTAGCAGTAGTCCAGTCTGTCCCACACCCCATTCCACCCCAGCCCCTGTCCTAGTTTTATGCCCTCCCGAGGAAGTGGTAACCCAAGAGGGGGAACCCATTATTTCCCTCCTAGGCCTCTTCCACTCCCAGATTATGCACTTTCCAGATAGTTCTGTGGTTTGACTTGACAGAACTAGCCCCCAGTGCCAGCTTCTGTCAGCTGATGCTGTGGCTAAGCCCAAACAACCCTCACCCACTCTAATTTTGTTTGCACCAGTAGGAATAATCAGCCCAGCCTGGCTTTTCCCTGATCTAGTCCACATGAGGCACACAGGTGTTGTAGCCCTGCTTAGTCTGGTCTGCCCCATCCCAGCTCACACTCTCCAGTGGGAGTAGCTGTCCAGCAAGGGAACCACCCCTTATTCCCCTGCCAGCTCTGCCCCCTCCCTTCCTTGTTCTCACGTGTGCTGGTTGGGTGCTGTGGTCACATCTGGTACAGGCAACCTCACCTTGGCATTCCATATTGTGCACTAGTTTTTGTCGTGACTGAACCCGGCTCAACCCACACTCTGTTCTGGTGCTTGGATTTGCCAGTGGATGATGTGGACAGATTCAGCCTGGTCTTCCCCCGACCCCTGCCAAATGTATGCCAGTGGGTAACTTTCCATGGCCTGTTCTGGGCTGTTTCCTGTCATGTTTCTTGTGCTTACCTGCCTGGTCTGTGTCCTGCCAGAGGAGTTGCCCAGGTTCCTCCATCAGAATCTCTCCCAATGCCAGATTTTGCACATACCAGGGGGTCCATGAGCCAGCCCTACTCAATTCACCTCCTGTCCTAGCAGGAACAGTGGCTTTTCCTGACTGGCCTTCAACCCAAACTGGTCCTTGCTGTTGGATGTTTCAGCCTAGTCATGGTTTGTCCATACCCACATATGGCTCACACATGGCTCAGTAGGGGGTTGAGACTTTGCCTAGTCCATCCCACATCTGCCCTGGTCCTCCAGAACAACAGAGGGTGTTGGAGTCTGGCCCGGCTCGGTGCATCCAATCCCAGTCCACACAGTGCCAAGGGAGACTACATCCGTTTCCTGATCAGAACGCAGCCCCCATGCCAGGTCATAGGCCCCTTGGTGGGAACCTCAACCCAGCTAGTGATGTCCCCTTAGCTCCCCAGCCGGGCCTGTTCCCAGCCATAGATCATGCGCATGCCAGTGGTTGCTCTGACTCAGCTTGGCTCAGCCCCTCACCTGTCCTGACCTCTGCCTTAGACACTGTGGCTTAGAGTTCCTGACTCTTGCACATCAGTTTGTGCAAGAGCCTAGCTTGGCATGACATGTGCTCCTTCCTGGTCTCTAGTTTTGCTTGTGGGCTAAAGTTTGCTCAGTCTTGCCTGATCTACTTGCTTCCATTACCAATTGACACATTTGCCAGCTGTTGGAGCTGTTTGCCCAGCTTGTCCAACCCCCAGGTCTGGACCACATGTTCACCAGTGGGAGCTATGACTCGCCACGGGAGTTTCCCAAGTTCCTCCACTTAATCCACCCCAAGCCCAGTTCTCATACATGCCATTGGACTTAGGCCAGTGCCCAGTTCAGTCTGGCCTTCCATTTTGCCTTGTATGAGCTGGTGAACATTGCAGCCTGGCCCACCCCACACCCTAATTAGGATGCACATTTGGGTGTTGCTGCCCTGACCAGTCCAGACTGTTGCCGGTTCCTTTACCTGTGATTGATGGCAGGCTCCTTGGTCACACCTAGCTTAGTCCATCACCACCCCAACTCTTGAGCTAACCAGTGGGGCTAGAATTTCCACAGGGTGTGGCCCACACATCCCTCACAGAATCTACCCCTGGTTATGGTTCTTGAGTGCTAGTTAATGTAATGGCTTACTTAATGTGACCCTTCTCCTGATCCATCATCATGTCAGGTAACATGATATGATTCTGCAGGACAAGCCATGAGCCATAGCCTCTGAATGGACTCGTATTTGGTGGTCAGCATTGTTCAATGATTGCAAGTTTTATAAAGGAATAGTTATTGCCAATGGGAATCTTTACGAATGCTTCATGTCCTAGAAGTACAATGGGTTCAACCTGGAGCTAACTAAGCAGCAACTCAAAGAACCAAAACCCCAGAGCTCCCCGACCGGGTGGCCACCAGGAGTGCCCGGGAGCCTGGCACCGAATTGTGCACTGGCCCGGGAACAGCTCACCATGTGCACGTGGTAGCTGGCGTCTGGGATCCAGGCATGAGACGCCCCGTCCTGAGACCCAGCAGCCGGGAGGCTGCTGGAAGTTTAAACTCCCAGGCCCAAGGTCGCACCCCTCCCCAATTCCATTCACTGTCCAATGAAGGTGGCAGGCGGGTTCCAGAGCTGCCCATTCCCGGAGACCTCCCCCCGGGTGTACTCACCCCGAAGGAAGCAGCCCCTGGAGCCCAGGCAGGCCCGGGGACAGCTCACCACATGCACATGGTGGCTGGCATCTGGGATCCAGGCATGAGATGCCTAGTCCTGAGACCCACCTTGTTGTTGTTTTTAAACAATAAAGTGCAATGTATAGGCTGCTGATAAAATCATGAATATGTTTTTAATGTGTCTGACTTGGTAAATTGTAGGCAATACATTTTCTTTTGTTGTTTTGCAATTTACAAAAGGGATTCCAGAATAAATTGTTCATTAGATTTTGACTCTTTCCCAGCAGTTGTCTTGGTATATAGACTACAAATTCCACTTCAGGTGCTTTTTGCTTTTTAACTCCTAGAAACGGAGGAGGCTTTTCTCTTTACTGCCTTCATCTGCAGTGCTCCAGTTGAGGCCAGCTTACCTGTTTTATTTCTTGTTTCCACAGACAACAAATGAAAACCAGGCGTTATACTGCGTCCCCCTCGTCCAGCTCTTTGCCTGTGTCAGCTGTGACCTGGCCTGCGAGCTCAGTTCCTTCTTTGATTCCGTAACTCCGGACACCGCTGGCAACCTTCCTGTAAATCTAATCAGTGAATGGAAAGAATTTTTCTCCCGAGGCATCCACAGTTTGTTCTTACCTCTTTTGGTGACTGTTACAGGCAAGTGAAAAGGGGCGTGAGAATGAGACTGTTATTAAAAATGACTTATTAAAAAATTCAGAACAAAAATCTCAGTGGTTTAAATCAAGCTGTACTAAGTGGAAAAAGAGAGACAGTAGAGAAAGTACAACTTCCTAGAAGCATCATGTATGCTTTTACAGAAGAAATTCAAAGCAGTCAGGTATCCAAAGGCCATCGTAAAATAATGGGGCAAGCCTCGTGGTGTAGAGGGTCAAAGTGCCTGCCGCACACTAGCATCCACTCTGACCCCAGTTTGAGTCTCGGCTGCTCTGCTCCCAACCCGGCTCCCCGCTGACGGCCTCGGGAAAGCAGTGGAAGATGACCCAAGTGCTTGAACCCCTGTCTCCAGTGCGGGAGATGGGGGGAAGCTCCGCCTTTGCCCTGGCCCAGTCACAGTCGTTACAGCCATCAGGGGAATGAACCAGCAGATAGAAGATATTTCTCTGTAGGTGTGATTTTCAAATAAATAAATGAATTATAAAAATAATAATTCAGATGGCATGATAAGTGGAATCTGATGAACAGTCGTTTGCTTTTTATTTTTTTTTTTAAAGATTTATTTTTATTATTATTATTTTTTAATTGGAAAGGCGGATATACAGAGAGGAGAGACAGAGAGGAAGATCTTCCGTCCGATGATTCACTCCCCAAGTGGCCGATACTATGCCGATCCGAAGCCAGGAGCCTCTTCCGGGTCTCCCACGCGGGTGCAGGTTCCCAAAGCTTTGGGCCGTCCTCGACTGCTTTCCCGGGCCACAGGCAGGGAGCTGGAAGGGAAGCGGGGCTGCCGGGATTAGAACCGGCGCCCATATGGGATCCTGGGCGTGCAAGGCGAGGACCTTTAACCACTTGCGCCACCGCGCCGGGCCCAGTCGTTTGCTTTTTAAAGATTGCGATTAAAGTCATTACTTGAGGTGAACTGAAATGTGTGTTTAGTTACTCTTAGGACTGCTTGAATAATTCTGTTTTTCCTTGTGATTGTGTGAGTTGGTTGAGCTGTATTACTGAATTTATTGTGAGATCTGAATGTTTCCCTTTCGTCTCCAGGAGAAAACAAAGATTTGTCGGAAACATCCTTTAAGAATGCGATGCTGAGGCCCATGTGTGAAACGCTAACGTATATTTCAAAGGATCAGCTGTTGAGTCACAAACTTCCTGCAAAACTGGTTACTGGCCAAAAAACGAACTTACCGGAGTGTCTGCAGACCGTGTTGAATACGTTGGTGCCGTTACTGCTCTTCCGAGCCAGGCCCGTGCAGATCGCTGTGTATCACATGCTGTACAAGTAAGTGTTCTTGAATCAGTGTTACAGCAGTCTGGGAAAAAACAGCAGAATGCGTGTTTACATTTTCATCTTAAATTAAAAAGTAGCAGGGTACAAATAGAGACAAAGTGTAATAAATAACCTAGGAATCCACGTCACGTGGTACTTCAGGTCGTTGTTCTCTGCATAAAGTTATGTTTAGATGATCCAGGCCACACATATTTATTTTACAAAACTCACATTGAAAATATGTTCATTGCCTATAAGTCACCTGTTACAATCTTAATAGATTATACAACATGGGCGCTTATGGATTCACTGTAGGATTCCCCTCAATGCTACATATTTGGATGCTTTCATAATAAAACATTTTCAGGGAAAAGATAAAATTTACCTTCAGTACAAACACATTTCCATGGTTGTGCTCTCTGCTGGGCCGACTCCCTTTCAAAAGAAAAATACCATTTAAAGCAGTCACTTGCCGATAAAAGAAGTACACCAATTAGAAAAATAGAAAATGTATTCATTGCTAAAAAAGTACTGATCTTTCTGCTATTAAGCATGTTTTAAAAATAGATAGATACCCTAGCTTTAGTGCGTATGTATTTATCATAGCTACCTCTTCCTGGTTTTATTTATTTATTATTAGTTTTTGTTGTTGTTGGAAAGTCAGGTATGTATAGAGAGGAGGAGAGACAGAAAGGAAGATCTTCTGTCCACTGATTCACTCCTCAAATGGCTGCAATGGCCAGAGCCCGGAGCCAGGGGCTTCTTCTTCTGGGTCTCCCACGTGGGTACAGGGTTCAAAGTCAATGCCTTGGGTTATCCTTGACTGCCTTCCCAGGTCACAAGCATGGAGCTGGGAAGCAGAGCCACCTGGATTAGAACCAGCACCCAGTGGGATCTTGGCATGTGCAAGGCGAGGACTTTAGCCACCAGGCTACGGTGCCAGGCCCTGCTGTTAAACATTTAGCAGTGGGGCTGAGCCCTGACTTAGCGGGCTGCCCTGCCTGCAGCGTGGGTATCCCATGTGGGTGCTGCTTCACTTCCCATGCAGCTCTCTGAACCCAGGTGCAAGACCGAGAAAGAGCTCCTGGCTTTGGATTGGCTTAACTCTATCCATTATGGGCATTTGTGGAGTAAACCAGTGAGTGGATAGGAGATCTCTCTCTCGGGCCTGGTGCAGTGGCCTAGCGGCTAAAGTCCTCACCTTGAACGCACCAGGATCCCATATGGGCGCCGGTTCTAATCCCAGCAGCTCCACTTCCCATCCAGCTCCCTGCTTGTGGCCTGGGAAAGCTATAGAGGATGGCCTAAAGCCTTGGGACCCTGCGCCTATGTGGGAGACCCAGAAGAAGTTCCTGGATCCTGGCTTCGGATCGGCATAGCATCAGCCGTTGCGCTCACTTGGGGAGTGAATCATCGGACTGAAGATCTTCCTTTCTGTCTCTCCTCCTCTCTGTATGTCTGACTTTGCAATAAATAAATAAATCTTAAAAAAAAAAAATCTCTCTTTTTCTCTTTCCTCTTTGTAAATCTACATTTCAAATAAAAATAAATAAGGAAAAAAATATATTTAACAATGAACAATTTAATATGAAATACTTGTTTTTCTAATCTCCAGATTGATGCCTGAATTGCCAAAGTATGATCAAGATAATCTGAAGTCATATGGAGATGATGAAGAAGAACCAGCCTTGTAAGGTTTTTCCTTTATTTTTTGTCCTAAATAATTTGGTTTATTAAATACTTATAATCTGCCTCATCGTATGGTGTCTTTAAAAGATTGAAGCCAAACAAACTCCAAGAGGATACGTTCTTTTTCAGTTATCTAAAAGATGTCATGTAGCATTTGCTCTGTAGGAGAAGATATATGACAGTTTTTAGGAACAAGGAGAAGTTAGCATGTTGAGAACCGGAAAGGAGTAGGGTGGGCTGGGGCGGTTAATGGACACAGACGTTATATTGTGAAAGAGATGCTTGGGCTGAACTTTTAGCGTGGTACTTCAGCAGGCAGGAAAGATCAAACAAGTTTAGGAAGCACCGTGTGCAGGATGTTGGGGATGCACTGGTGAAGTGTTTACCCTTTGACATTGTTTGTGCGTCTGTGAAGGCACAATTTTTGTTTCTTGCTGCTGACTGTAGGTACCCGGTACCCAGTACAGTTTATCATCTGTTGAAGACTCATGGGTAGTGCCCATTTGTTGAATGAAAGGAGAAATGAGCCGGTGTTTACCGGGTAGGGTGGGTATAGTTGAAAGTGAAACTGGAAGATTTCAGGGAGCAACAGAATAAATGGTTCTAAAATGACATTTTCTAAATTGTGGGGCATTACTTGGTAGAAGATGAGTTCTATGATTGAAACAGTACTGGGAAGCATGAATTACAGAAAGAAACAGAGTGGAAAGGAAAGCGATTTGGGAGCTGTGATTCTTAAGATCTACTGTCCCCTGGGACGGAAATGGAATAGAGAGACATGGTGTGTGAGAAGGAGATGGTGCAGGTAAGGACCTGGGCTGGAAGTTTCGAGAAAGCCTGTCTACAGACGGCAGGAAAGTCTCAAGGAAGAAAGAACATTCCCGGGAAAGGAGAAAAGCAAACTAGAGAATCATAGGAAAGAAATTTGAGAAGCTGGTGTGTTCATCTTACTTCCATAAATACTGTGAATGAGTTAATGTGAAAAGAGTTAGTTGAATGATTTTCTTAAAAGTGTGTATTTGCTATTGATCATTCTGATTTATAGTTTTGGTTATAGTACTTTTTATATACACAATACTGCCAGGTATGCAGTAAAGCGGAGATAGAACCAGGTGCCTCTGCTGCTCTCTCTGTCCTTCGTAGGATGGCACAGGGCGTGCTGGATGTCAGGCTCTCCTGACTGGCTGTTGAACTACTCATTTGGCCTCTCTGGGCACATGGTTTGTCTTGCAAAGTTAAAATAGATATTTTCTAGAAGTGTCGTCTTGAAGTACTACCTACAGAGTTATATATATAAGATGTATGTATTTTTATTGGGTTAAACAGTTAAAGAAGCAAAGATAGCAAGAGAAATCTTCCAGCCTCTGGTTTACTTTCCAAATAGCTGTCATTGCCGGGGCTGGGCTGCTCTGAAATTAGGAGCTTCTTTGGATGTCCCACGCAGGTGTGAGATCCCAAGGCTTTGGGCCATCCTCTGCTGCGTTCCCAGGCCACCAGCTGGGAGCTGGACCGAACGTGGAGCAGCTGTCACTTAAACTGGCATCTGCATGGAATGTGCAACCACGGGCAGAGGCTTAGTGGGCTATACCATGGCACCTGCCCCCAGGGTCTGTGTTTTTCTTTCATAGCTTTCAGATCCAACAGTTGGCATTATATGAGATAAATCGGATCTGTACAGGGGAACTGTTCAAAGCGTTTTGGAAAACAGAGGAATAAGTTTGTGCAGCACTTGCAGTTTGTGCATGTTTATCAGTTTGTCGAACATTGTGGTGTTCAATCCTTCCTTCTCAGGTCTCCACCGGGAGTGCTGATGTCTGTCCTTAACAAACAAGAAGACTTACTAGAAAACATTTTGGGGTGTATTCCTGTGGGACAGATAGTTACTATCAAGCCACTGAGTGAAGACTTTTGTTACGTTCTGGGGTACCTCCTGACTTGGAAATTAATACTTACTTTCTTTAAAGCCGCTTCATCTCAGGTAAATAATGCGACAACTTTTGGCAGTTTTGTCCAAGCGTGTATCTCCATCACTGTCATTCAGGGGGAAATGCCTTCCAGTTCGATGTAATACTGTTGCTTCACCCTGCATGTTTCACAAAGTGATTGATCTGTGAAATGTAGCTGGTCGCAATGGCAGAGTCATTCTGTTGCAGAAACTTTTACCCAATACCTTCATAATAATGATTTCAGAAGAATCGAATCTTAAACATTTTGTGAGGAGCAGATCCTGATGTAACAGATTTCATTTGATGAAAGTGCAGATTTACATTGTTTGGAAATCATGAAATTGGAGAAAGACAAGTGAAGTCACCTGTACAATTCGAAATGCTTTTCTGATGAAAATAGCCCAAATTATGAAAACGGCCACTAGGTGTCTCTCTTGGCCCTTGTTTAGGCAGAGTTTGTGGCCTAGAAAGAAGCTGGAACTATTCCAGCCATGCTTTAAGGAGATCCTCACTTAAAATTTCATCCTAGTTTTGATTGACTTAGTCTGATGGTGTGCTTTCTTCAAACAAATCAATACAGAAAAGAGTGAGTTTCAGTTCATATTTTAAAATGTCATTTAAAACTCAAGGCATCGTTTTCATTATGATTTTTCAGAATCTTTGAATAATTGTATTGTTGATCATAGTCATACCAATTATTTCAACTTACACTGCATTAAACCTTCTAAGAGGAAAATCAAATCACGGGTCACATTAGATTTGCTTTGCTTCTCTGCTTATCTGTAACTTATATTTATGATGTAAACTTTTTACTTGTTGATGTATTTTGAGAGCTTCTTGTTGAACTTTTGTATTTGTTTCTTTTTTATAAGGTTTGTTTATTTATTTATTTATTGAACAGTCAGATATACAGAGAGAGGAGGAGAGACAGAGAGGAATACCTTCCATCTGATGATTCACTCAGGTGGCTGCAAGGGCCGGTGCTGTGCCGATTCAGAGCCAGGAGCCAGGAGCTTCTTCTGGGTCTCCCACATGGGTGCAGGGTCCTAAGGCTTTGGGCCATCCTCAGCTGCTTTCCCAGGCCACAAGCAGGGAGCTGGATGGGAAGTGGGGCTGCCGGGATTAGAACCGGCACCCATATGGGATCCTGGCGTGTTCAAGGCGAGGACTTTGGCTGCTAGGCCACTGTGCCAGGCCCATGTATTTGTTTCTTAAAATATTGTTAATCTCTTTTAAAAATTGCAAAAGTTTGTGAATTTTTGTATTAATTTTGTTATTGTCATTCAGAAATCAGAATTTACACGTATCATTGTTATCAAGCCAGCATGTGGGCAGAATTGCAAAGATTTGCACAAAGTTTAATGTGGAGCCTGAAATTTGAACTGAATTAGTAATACAAAAGCTGGAATAATTCAATAAGTAATACTCATTAGATGAGTCCTGAGTTAGAGGATTTTAAAAAAACTTAAATTAGCCTTAAATTATGGACTGTTTTAATTCTATTCTCAAAAAAAAAAAAAACCAACAAACTTGAAAAATGAGATTGAACGAGAAATCAAACTCTGGTGAGAGTGTGTGTGTGTACAGTGTGTGTGTGTACAAGTGTGTGTGTAAAATGAGATAGAGCATGCTCTTTATTGAGATACAACTCATGTACCTTAAGATTTAACCATTTCAAAGTGTACAATTTGGTGTTTTTAATATACTATGGTATTTCAAAAATTTCATGATACATGGAATTAAAAGTAACTGTTTTAGTTTAGTTAAAACATTTTTCCTAATGTGCAGATTCTATGAACTTTTTAAAAAATTAAAAAAAAATTTTTGTCTGAAAAGTATGATTTACTTAGGAAAAAAAAAAAAGAACTCCTGCATTAGTGACAGGAAGGACTCCAAGGGAGGAAAAACCTCTCCATAAACTTTTTTTTTTTCAGTTTTTATTTTTTTTTTTAATTCGAAAGTCAGATATACAGAGAGGGGGAGAGACAGAGAGGAAGATCTGTTGATTCACTCCCCAGGAAGACGCAGTGGCCCGTGCTGCGCTGATCCGAAGCCAGGAGCCAGGAAGCTATTTTGGATCTCTCAAGCAGGTGCAGGGTCCCAAGGCTTTGGGCCGTCCTCTACTGCTTTCCCAGGCCACGCACAGGGAGCTGGATGGGAAGTGGAGCTGCTGGGATTAGAACCAGCACCCATATGGGATCCTGGTGCATTCAAAGTGAGGACTTTAGCCACTAGGCCACTGTGCCGGGCCCCTCTCCTTGAACATTTGAAAACCCTGTGTATACATGGAGTTATGCTCCTATTGGGGCACGATCTAATTTTAGAACATTTTCAGCATCTTCCAAACCAGCCCATACCTTGGAGCAATCACTTCCCATTTCCTCGCTAGTGTTGCTGGTTTGGGCAAGCACTAAATTCTTTCTCTGTGGATTTCTCTTTTTTGGACATTTTACACTTTTGCTTTATTTTTATTTGAAAGGCAGAGTTAGAACAGAGAGGAGAGGCAGAGATCTTCCATCCACTGGTTCACTCCCCAAATGGCTGCAGTGGCCAGAGCTGGGCCAGCCTAAAGCCAGGAGCCAGGAGCTTCGTCTGGGCATCCTGTGTGGGTACAGGGGACAAAGCATTTGGTCTGTCCTTCACTGATTTCCCAGGCCATTGGCAGGAAACTCGGTGGAAGTGGAGCAGCTGGGACTCGGACTGGTGCCTATGTTGGATGCTAACGCGGCTGGCGGAAGCTTAACATGCTTACATCACACACCAGCCCCACTGTGTGTGTTTGTACCTGAGTAATACTCTCTTGTATGGATGTGCCACATTATGTTTATCTTTTCATCTGCTCACGAACATTTGGGTCATTTTTACTTTTGGCTAGTGTCTGAGGTTGCTGTTAACACTGATGTGCAAGCTTTCGGCTTCTCCTGTATACCTGGCTGTGCGATTTCTAGTCATGTTCGTGTGTTTTTTTAGATACCATTGATAATACCTAATTAATTATTGAAAAATTTTTTTGTTCCAATGTTTTTATTTTGGAAAAGAAAGAAACAGCAGCTAGAACTCAGTGACTGTATGAGAAGTCACACACCATCATACATTTCACCATCACACGTTTTCACATGGTACTGTATTTACGCATGCTTTTTATTCTGCTGCTCTGCTTAAAAGTAAGGCACACACACTGATGTGATGCTTTACCAAAAGCAGCTCAGTATGTATCTGCTGAGGAGAAGGCCGCGTTCCTGTAAAACTGTAGCGTAGGAATGCAGTTTTGATGCACTTGTCTAAGTAGGACTTGGAGTTCCCTGGTTTATCACAGTTATAGTCCTTCTAGCTTTATTTCCTTCTCTACGAAGGGTGCAGGCAAGGCTTATAGTACATTTACTTGCGCTTGTGGCGATACCCCATAACTCCTCTGTCGCTCTCGTTGTTAGCCAGCTGTTATGTCGAGTGTCCCGTACTCTTCAGTTCTCTGCCGTTTCCTCGTGATTATTTTCAGCAAGAGTACTTCCTGCACTCGTGAGCCTGCGTTACCTCTGCAGGTGCATGTCATTGTGCCCTTTTACTGATGATGTTCAGTTTGATTTCTCAGTAAAGGTAGCATCAGTCTGATTTCTTTAATATGAAGATACTTTGATCAATGTATTCTAAGAATCAACTCCAGATGCTACCATGGCTTGATCCATGTATTTGAGTTTTCATAATATTCAGCTAGTGGTATCTTTGTACTGTGAGGAGGTGTATGCTGTGATGCAAGACATTATGTTAAGCAGATAAAATACCGAAGAACTAGAAAGCCGATGTGAAGAATTTGAGCTCCATTCTTGAGGGACGACAGGTACAAGCACGCCAGAATACACCCAGCGGTGCCGCTTTCTCCTGTTCCTAAAAGAGAAAATAGAAACTCATATTTTCATGTTAAATTTTCTGATTGATTAAACAACAGTGAGGAAACCCCAAGACATTTTGGGCTACTAGTTTCTGTACCCTGCCCTAAAACCAGTTGATACAGAAAGAGCTCAGCCATGAAATGACATTCTTTTTGGAAGTCTTGGGGAGAGAGTAATGAGTCCTCCTTGGGGAGGGTTGAGTGGATTTTCTTCATGCTGTAAAGAGAGACTCCAGGCCAAGGTAAGAGTATTACCTGGGAGATGATATGAGAAAGTTGTGATAAGCATATATCTAATAACGTCAGCACGAACAGGATGTCATGGAAGGAATAGTACCGTGTGACATGGCACATTTGAAACATGGGAGTGACAGGAATTTTAGAACTTTCCTTGTAATTGTAAATCGTCAAATCCTTTTGTAATTTGTTCTAAGATCTGCTATACGTTTGTCTGTTCTTTCCCACCGATTGTATTGATCCAATTGGTTTCATCATCCAATTCTTTTCCTTTTCACTAGCTTCGGGCTCTCTATTCCATGTACCTTCGCAAAACGAAGAGCTTGAATAAGTTGCTGTACCACCTGTTCCGACTCATGCCAGAAAACCCCACTTACGGAGAGACAGCTGTTGAGGCCACAAATAAGGACCCGAAGACATTTTTTACCGAGGAGCTCCAGCTGAGTATTAGAGGTCGGTAAGCTCTGTGTGTTCCGTCTTGGAAATTAGGTTCACGCCAGGTTACGTGAAACCTGTCCCTGGAGCTTGGAAGAATGATCCCAAATGGTCCCCAACTGTAAGAATGTTGAAATGGAAGACTTTCTGTATCTCTGTTAATAGGACAAACATTTAAATCTTGGGATAAGATCTAAAGAACTATTGAATAAATGTTTGAGGGTTAGTACGTGGAGAATGTTGCCTCATATCCCACAAACAAATATTTGTTAGGTGATAACATTTTACAGGCTTGTAAACAAGTAGTCTTCAGTTGAGAAAACAAAGGCGAATAAAAGATGCGCTCAGGTCTTAGCGGGACAGTGGCATGTCTGCATCTAGTTGTAAACGGCATTCTAAACAACCGACCAGCAGTGGGGAGTTTTGCTGGGTTGCCTGTCTGCAGGGCTGCACGTGCGAGGGTTGAGGGCAGTGTTTTGGAGCTTTGCAGCGGCATTTCATGAGCTCTGAAGAACATAAATGAGGCCAAATTTCTTTTCCTAATCTACTAGGATCCTCAAAAAGTTCACTGTGCAAAACCAGTGTGAGGATTCTAAAATTTTTTTTTCACATTAAACTTTTTTTTTTGAATAATGTATTTACTTACTCAAAAGGCAGAATGAATGAATGAATGAGAGAAAGAAATCATTTGAGATCTCCCTGTGCTGGTTCACCCTCCCAGTGGCCACCGCTGCCAGCTCTGAGCCGGGCTAAAGCCAGGAGCCTGGATCATGTCCGGGTCTCCGCCTACGAATGGCAGGAACTCCCGTACTTGAACCATTGTTTGCGGGGGAAGTGGAGAAGCTGGGCCCAGTGCAGGTGGCCTTAACACTGGCTCGAGCTGCTGTGCTATAATGCCCGCCCGGGGCACCAAAATAAGCTTTTCAAAAATGTTTAAACATTTTAAAGTTTTTTTTATAATTGTAATTAGTTTGTAAGATTCACTATGGTTTGTATGTGCAACTTTAAGACCGTAATGTCATTCCCTTTTCCCTGCTTCTCTGCTTCCTTTTTTTTTTTTTTTTCTTTTTTTGAGTTTGAACATTGTAAATTGGAGGGCTGGTGTGGTGGCTCATTAGGCTTAACCCTCTGCCTTCGAGAGCTGATATCCATATAGGTGCAAATTCTAGTCTTGGTTGCTCCACTTTAAAAAAAAAAAAAAGATATATTTATTTTTATTGCAAAGTCAGAGATATACATAGAAAGGAAGATCTTCCATCAGATGATTCACTCCCTAAGTGACCGCCTCGGCCGTTGCCGCGCCATTCCAAAGCCAGGAGCCAGAAGCTCTTCCAGGTCTCCCACATGGGTGCAGGTCCCAAGGCTTCAGGCTGTCCTCGACTGCTCTCTCAGAACACAAGCAGGGAGTTGGAGGGGAAGCAGGGCTGCTGGGATTAGAACCAGTGCCCGTATGGGATCCTGGCGCGTTGAAGGCGAGGACTTTAGCCATTAGGCCACTGTGCCAGGCCCTTTTGCTCCATTTCTTTTTTTATTTTTTTTTAAAGATTTATTTTTATTATTTTTTCATTGGAAAGGCGGATATACAGAGGAGAGACAGAGAGGAAGATCTTCTGTCCGATGATTCACTCCCCAAGTGAGCGCAACGGGCCGATACTATGCCGATCCGAAGCCACTTCTGGGTCTCCCACGCGGGTGCAGGTTCCCAAAGCTTTGGGCCGTCCTCGACTGCTTTCCCAGGCCACAGGCAGGGAGCTGGAAGGGAAGCAGGGCTGACCGGGATTAGAACCGGCACCCATATGGGATCCCGGGCGTGCAAGGTGAGGACCTTTAACCACTTGCGCCACCGCCTGGGCCCTTTTGCTCCATTTCTAATCCAGCTGCCTGATTATTGACTGGAAAAGTGACACAAGATGGTCCCAAGTCCTTGGACCCTGCATGCGTGTGGGAGACCCAGAAGAAGTTCCTGGCTTCAGATCAGTTCAGCTGTGGTTTTGTAGCCATGTGGGGAGAAAACCAGCGAAAGGAAGATCTTTCTTTCTCTGACTCACCTGATCTCTGTAAATCTACCTTTCTAGTACAAACGAATCTAAAAAGCAATTTTAAATTAATAAAAAATTTAACAAAAACAAAAAAGACTGTAGTTGATAAAGTTAATAAAGACTGTAGTTAATAAAGACTGTGGAAATTTAAGCAGTGGCTGTAACTGAATGAAATAAAGACCATTTCACTCATATGCAGTAACTTTTAAAGTAATCACAGATCATTGACTCTATAGCAGTGTATAACTGGCTTGACAAAGCTATAAAAGAAGGTTTTTTTTTTTTTTTTGAAGATTACTTATTTAGAAGACAGATTTAAAAAGATGGGGACAGATCCCCAAATGTTCACAATGGTTGGAGCTGAACTGATCCAAAGCTAGAAACCCGTAACTGCTGCATCTGCTGTGTGGACACAGGGGCCCAGCACTTGGGCCATCCTCTGCTGCTTTCCCAGGCTCCTAGGGGACCTGAACCTGAAGTGGAGCAGCCAGGACCCGAACCAGCACCCACTGGGGACTTTGGCCAATACACCACTGCACTGGTCCCTACAATAAAGCTTTGTGAAACTGCCTTGATAGCAACACCCGTACACGCAGATGTGTCTTTTCGAATTTTAACTCCCATGCATGTATAAGGGGGAACTTGTAGTGTTTGTCTTTTAGGGTCTGGCTTATTTCGCTTACAGGATCTCCTCTAGTTGTGTTCGTTTTGCCACAAATGGCAGGATTTTTAAAAATCTATTTTTGTTAGAAAGGCAGATTTACAGACAGATAGAAAGAGTCTTCGTTCCGCTAGTTCACTCCCTAACCCTGAATTGCATTTGCTTTTATGACTGAATGATATTCAATTGTTTATGTATAAATATAAACCGAATTACCCTTGCATGTGTGTTCTGTTTTATATGAGGTCTTTGTCTTATTATTGTTTTAGATGATGTTTGCATCGTTGGCCAGGGCGGGAAGGGTCTAGTGTCAGGGAGAAGTGGGTGTGATCGCTGCTTCCTATAGGAAACATAGAATGCTTCTAGGAAGACTGGGTCAGTGGTATTGACATTTTCCCTGTTTTTACTTCTTTTGCCATTCCTATATATATATATTTTAAACTTTTACTTTCTTTTTTTTTTAAAGATTTATTTTATTTTTTTATTACAAAGTCAGATATACATAGAGAGGAAGATCTTCCGTCTGATGATTCACTCCCCAAGTGAGTGCCTCGGCCGTTGCTATGCCGATCCGAAGCCTGGAACCGGGAACCTCTTCCGGGTCTCCCACATAGGTGCAGGGTCCCAAAGCACTGGGCTGTCCTCACCTGCTTTCCCAGGCCACAGGCAGGGAGCTGGATGGGAAGTGGAGCTGCGGGGATTAGAACCAGCACCCATATGGGATTCTGGCATGTTCAAGGCGAGGACTTTAGCCGCTAGGCCATGCCGCCAAATTTTATTTCCTTTAATATTATAATGGCAGGGAGAAAGGTCTCTTTAATCTGCAGGGTGGTTCCCTAAATGCCCGCTGCAGCCCAGGATAGAACAGGTTGAAGCCCAAGAACTCAGAATTCCATATAGATGTCCTGGAGAGGGCATAGCGACCTGCGTACTTAGAGCCTCTCCTGCTCTTTGCTCGCGGACACATTAACAGGAAACCGGATCAGAGCAAGAGTAGCTGAGATGTGAAATAGGTGCTTCCGTGAGTAACAACATCACAACATCCCAACAACTTGCTTGATAGAGCAGCAAGTTGGCTGCTCTATCAAACTTTGTCCTCTTATTTTTCATTTTGAATGTGTTGGAGGGTGCTGGCACGGTTCTGCTTTGAAACTCTTTGTCCTATTAGCTGTAACAGGGTTGTTGGAGTATTAAGATGTTCTAAGGAAAGTAGTAATGTTACAGCAAAAAGATGTAAATAAACATAAAATGTTATGTAAGAATAGTATTCCTAAACTTAAGAATTTGTTTTTTTTTTTTTTTCCTTAGAAACAGCAACTCTTCCATACCATATTCCACACTTGGCTTGTTCAGTGTATCATATGACATTAAAAGACTTGCCAGCCATGGTTAGGCTGTGGTGGAACAGCAGTGAGAAACGTGTTTTCAATATTGTTGATAGATTTACAAGCAAGTATGTCAGCAATGTTCTTTCATTTCAAGAAATATCTTCTGTGCAAACAAGTACACAGCTGCTTAATGGCATGGCGGTAAGTACTGGCCTGATGTGCAGAAGCGGTTTGAATATTGTTTAAATTGGCTTCTGTGAATATCATCACAAAAACGTCCGCTGTTAAGATTATGTGGGAGTTGTGTTATTTTCTTTCTTTTTTTTTTTTTACTTATTATTATTATTATTGTTATTAGAATTTTGCAATACAGTTCCATAGACACTTCCCCAAACCCCTCCCCTCTCACTCAGTTCCCCTATATTATTACTATAGAATAGTTCAGTTCTTCATACAGTCATATGTCCAGCATGCTATTGTCAAGATAGAGTTAACAGTTTCATTGGGAGTCCATCTTTAGTCTGGCGTTAGAGATGCATACTACATTGTATCCTCACATCTGGACATGATAGTCTCCATTACATAGTTACTGTACATCCCCTTAAATGAAAAATCACAATACAAAATCAGCAACAGGAAGAAAAATAGAAATTTACAATGCTATGAAGTTAAATAACATGCTACTAGATATGATAGTCTCCATTACACAGTTACTATACATCCCCTTAAATGAAAAGTCACAAAACAAAATCAACATCAGGGAGAAAAAAAGAAATTAACAACACCATGAAGTTAAATAATACGCTACTGAATGACTAATGTGTCCTGAAGAAATGAAAAAGAAGATCAAGAACCTTCTTGAAGAAAATGATGCTACTGTGTGATCTATGAGTCATGAAGACTTTAATAAGAGAATTCTGAAGAGATGAAACTAAAACAAATAAAAACTTGAAAATCCATGAGATATAGTTTCCGCTGATCTTTGTTGGTGAGATATATCTCCTGTAGGCAACAAATAGATGGCTTTTTTAATCCATTCTACAAATCTATGATGTTTGATTGATGAGTTTAAGCCATTTACATTCAGGGTTAATATGAATGGGTGGTAATTTGATCCTGTTATTTTAGCAATGGGTTGTTCATTGATTTAGTCTTCTGTTGTTATTTTACTGGAATGTTCTTTGCATTTGTCTTTCATTTTGGTGGGTGCTGTTCTTCTGTGAAGAGAATATCTTTAAGTTTCATTTGTAGAGCAGGCTTGGAAGAGGCATATTCTTTTAATTTCTTCTTACTGTCAATTTTATTTCATTTTCAAAGACAAAAGAAAGTTTTCCTGGGTACATTATCCTGGGCCAACAATTTTTTTCTTTTGGAATCTGGAATATGTCACTCCATTCTCTTCTGGCCTGTAGAGTTTCCTGTGAGAGATCTGTGAGTTTAATTGACATTCCTTTATATGTCAGCTGATTTTTTTCACATGCACATTTAAAAATCTTTTCCTTATGTTCGATTGAAGAGAGCTTGATTATCATGTGTTGTGGTGAAGATCGCTTTTGGTCAAGCCTGTTGGGAGTTCTGTGCCCCTCCTGGATGTTGTTTCCCAATTCTTTCTCCAGATTAGGGAAATTTTCCCTTATTATTTCATTAAATACATTTGTAAACCCAGCTTCTCTTTCTGCACCTTCTGGGACTCCCATAACTCTTATATTTGGCCTCTTAATAATGTCTTTCAATTCTTGTGTACTTTTTTAGCTTGATCCAGCTCTGCTTCCAGCTTTTTGTTTGTTTGCTTCCCCCTGGTGACAGGAAATATCTTTCAATTCTCAGATTCCTTCTTCTGCTTTATTCATTCTATTTTGGAGACTTTCCACTGTACTTTTTATTTTATCTTACTTTTATTGCAAAGTCTGATATACAAAGAGGAGGAGAGACAGAGGAAGACCTTCTATCCGATGATTCACTCCCCAAGTGGCCACAGTGGCTGGAGCTATGCTGATCTGAAGCCAGGAGCCAGGAGCTCTTCTGGGTCTCCCACGTGGGTGCAGGGTCCCAAGGCTTTGAGCCATCCTCAACTGCTTTCCCAGGCCACAAACAAGAAACTGGAAGGGAAACAGGGTTGCCGAATTTAGGACCCTCCACTGTACTCTTAATTTGCTCTAATGTATTCTTCATTTCTGATGTATCAGCTTCCATTTAATTCATTTCCTGTGTGACACATTCCTTAAATTTCTTGAATTCCTGTATTACTGCCTCTTGTTGATAAGAAGCTTTATAACAAGTGTTTTGAATTCTGTATCCTTCATTTTCTGGATGTATTCCTCAGTTAACTCTGAGATTGGCAAAGGCTTTTTGCTCCTTTCAAGGAAATCTTCAGTAATATTCATTGGTCTCTTCTTTTGCTCTTGGTCATTGTACTTCTGGTTAGCAGATTCTTCTCCTTGGGGCAGGTTTCTAAGCTGTGTCACCCACAGGTCTACAGTTCAGTTTTACTTATTGTGGTTGGTACATGGCTCTTTGTTTGCAGTCACTTGTGCCACTCCCTCCAGCGAGTTCCAGAGCTGGGTTCTTCAATTAGATTTCCATCATAGCCCCAGCTCCTGGATCACCAGTCTCCACCTCCTGTGGTACTGTGCTTAGGCTGCACCACTGCCTGTACAGCCTTTCTCCCACTTCTGGTTGGAGCAGTTCTCAGGATTAGGGAGACACCAGGTGTCCTGTGTAGCTAGGTAGTTGTTGGTGGTGCTGATCTTGCCAGAACCTATTGACCGTTTAGTCTGGGGGCTGCATGGATCTATTTTGACCCATACAATGCCAAAGTTCATATTATTTTCCTGTGGGACCAGTGCAAATCACTGAGTTCAGTGAGTTTGCTCCCAGCTCAGAGCATGCACAGCTCACTGTTGTCCCTGCAGTATCAATGCCTTTGGCACACTGTACAAAATGGCACTTGATGTGCCACTACTAGAGTTCTTGATCTGTTGACCCTCTGGTCTGAGGGCTACAGGGGCAGGTTGGCTGTGAAGTCCACCCTGTCCCTGCACCACGCATTGGGACCTGCTGCTGTGTCTCTTGTCCTGGCCAAATCAAACAGCCCAGTAAGGTGGGCAGTTCTTTGTTCTCGCGGCTCGCTGAATGCTGCTGGCGTACGGGTCACTGCGACACCTCCCGTTGTCTCAGCTGCTTTCCTGTGGCTGTCAGTCACCAGGTCCCCTCAGCTTTTGTTTTGTCCTCTTCTGTTTCCTCGAATGTGCCCTCTCTGCTTCACCCAGGCTAATGTTTCTCCATCTGTTTAAACATGTCCTTACCTTCTTCCGCCATCCTGATTCTCAGATTGCGTTCATTTCGGATTCTTGTGTACTGATTTCAAAGTTATTCCGTGCATTGGAATACTAATATGATTTTATCCACCCACCAAATAGTTTTCATTGACTAGTCCATTCAAAATCGATATAGGAATGCTGGCACATACCAAACTATATACCCATCACCTGGGCAGTTACAACCCATCTGTCAGAGAGCAGACTGGTGCTTCCTGCATTAGGAACTAGAGTGGCACATCAATGAGAGTGCTCTGAGATGTCACTGGGAGATGCTCACGTGGCTGAGTGGGTTTAAGTAAGACTTCACTTGGGGTGAGCAGGGAAAGACATTTCATTTGGAGAAAACAGTATTTCAGAAACAAACAGCATTGGAATGGAAATGTAATTTAATTTTATTTGAATCGTATAGTGACAGAGTGATACCTTTCATTCTGATTCACCATCACAAAAGCACACAGCAGCCAAACTGGCAAAACTCAGTCTGAGTCTCCCTCACGAACAACTGCAACTAAAATATAGTAGCCATCATTTGCTGCTTCCAAGTATGTTAGCAAGGTGCTGGTTGGAGTATAGCAACGGCATTGAACTGGTGCAGCAGTGCTGTGCCCCGACACCTCCCCTAAGGTGATACTCTGATTTCACCCAAGAAATGACTGATCCAGTGAGCATTTAGAACAGGATTCCCAAAGGGGAGTCATCAAGAGAGTCAGTTTTAGGCACGGGTTAATTGGGGCCCAGCTCGATAGCCTAGTGGCTAAACCTTGCATGTACCGGGATCCCAAATGCGTGCCAGTTGGGCAGTGAATCAGCGCGTAAAGGATGTTTCTGTCTCTCCATCACTCTGCAAATCTTCCTTTTGAGTAAAAATAAATAAATTTTTTAAGAGTTAGGTTGGGCAAGATAAATCTAAAACATTTGGTCTCTGCAGCCACTGAAGGGTTTCCATTTAGACAGAAGTATGGTCAGAGTTCTGTTTTATGAATTGCTGTGATTGTGGTGTGTAGCATGGACTGTTGGGATATGACTTGGATTTAGTTGAATAGTTCAGAGATACGTGGAGTAGACGTGAGCAGGAGCAGGGTCTGCGCGTTGCTGTGCTGCTGGCAAGGCCAGAGACAAGAACTAGGCGAGGCCAGCACTGTGATGGGGCTAAAGTCACAGTGGCTAGAAGAGCTGGCTTGCCACTTCTTCTTGTTTTTTTAAAATTATTAATTATTTTTATTTTTGATGATTTTTACATAGCTGATTAGGGCCAAGGGCTACAGGAAGGTAGGTGAGATCACCATTTTTTTCCTTCCCGTGGCTGTGCCACTTCTCATCCAGTTTCCTGCTCATGTGCCTGGACACAGGAGCAGAGTCATTTAAGGGCCTGGTCCTCTGCTCCTAACTGGGCAGTCTGGAGGAAGTTGCTGGCTCCTGGCATCCAAGCAGCCTTGCTCCGGCCCTTGTGGCCCTTTGGGAAGTGAACCAGCAGGTGGAGGTGCCCTCGGTGGAGGGTTAGTGTGATAAACTGCTGTGCTGGCCCCAGTTTGGTCGTATTTATATCTAACTAATATCTAGGTTAAGGCAGGAGGCAAAATTCTAAAATATGGTTTTTACACTGGAAATAAGAAAGTCAGAAGTTTATAAAGCACGATATGTGTCCTTGTTGAGTTTGTAGTGTTAGTATGGCAATAGAAGGAGCAGGTTGAAATGCCCTAGCAGCTGCAGCTCAGGGGAGCGCGGCGGTCGGTGGATCCAGTAGATGTGGAATCGAGACCCTGGCTAGGGAAGAGACGAATAATTCATTCTCTCTGTTGTTCATAAATGACTTTATTTAATAATCTTCAACAAAAACATAACTTTCTCAAATGAAAAGCCTGTTGTCAAGTAAATTTTTCAGTGTGATAAAATCACTATAAATATACAAAGGGATTTAAACCTATTTATTAAATATCTCATGTCAGAGAAATGAGTGTGTCTTCCTGCTTTGTCCTTGTCTGGTCAGTCTAGAAGAAATGTCTTGAGTGAAAAAAAAAAAAAAGGATTTGGTTATAAAATTGTCTTTATTGAATTGCAGGTGAAAGCTCGAGCTACTACTCGAGAAGTAATGGCTACGTACAGCATCGAGGACATTGTCATTGAGCTTATAATACAGCTGCCTTCCAATTATCCTTTGGGGTCCATCACAGTGGAAAGTGGCAAGAGAGTGGGAGTGGCCGTCCAGCAGTGGAGGAACTGGATGCTGCAATTAAGTACTTACCTCACTCATCAGGTAAAGTTCCATTTCAGGTTTGGCGTTCTGCACTAAGGCAAGACTAGTCGAGCCTGATTGGATCTCTTGTGTTTGAGAATGCAAGCGTACCTCCGACCTGTTAGCATTGGGCTCTAGAGCGCAGCAATCACTTGAGTCTCAGAATCCAGCAACTCCTAGGAATCGCTTGGCTTCCCAGCGTACACAGAGGTTGTAACCTATTAAACATTGTACATACCTTAATTTCAAGATATTTTGCTGCTATCACAAAATGCTGAACCTTCATTGAGATGTAGTTTTGTCTGTGGAGTGTCTTGCCTCCGCGTGGGTGACCGCTCACTGGTGGAACTGGTGGCTGCTGAAGGCGGAGGTGCTGGATGGTTTCTTCAGATGACACAGCAGTGGAGTTTGCTGCGTCAGTTAGCTCATCCTTTCACAGCAGGCTCCCTGAGGCTCGCAGCTGAGCTGCTTTGAACATTGCAGTCAGTTCTCTCCCACTCTGCTGCTGCTTTGCTGCAAAGTGTAGGGAATGTTCTAGCTCACTTGTCCTACAGCAGTGCTCACAGCATCTTCATCACAAGGCCTTTCTCTGCTACTAACGTTTTTTTTTTTTTTTTATGAAATTGTAACAATTCAGTTGCCTTTTTTTTTTTCTTTTGTAAAGATTTATTTATTTCTTATAGGAAAGATTTACAGAGAGAAGGAGAAATAAAGATATTCCATCTGGGCTCAGCATGGTGGCCTAGCAGCTAAAGTCCTCGCCTTGCATGTGCCAGGATCCCATATGGGTGCCAGTTCTAATCCCTTCAGCTGCGCTTCCCATCCAGCTCCTTGCTTGTGGCCTGGTAAAACATTCGAGGACGGCCTAAAGTCTTGGGACCCTGCACCCATGTGGGAGACTCAGAAGAGGCTCTGGAATCCTGGCTTCAGATTGGCACAACTTTGGCTGTTGTGGCTGCTTGGGGAGTGAATCAAAAGACGGAAGATCTTTCTCTCTGTATAGCTGACTTTCCAATAAAAATAAAATAAATTCTCAAAAAAAATAGATAATTCCATTTGCTTGTTTACTCCCCAAGTGGCCACAGAGCCTGAAACTGAGCTGATCTTAAAGCCAGGAGTGTCTTACGGGCCACACGGGTGCAGGGTCCCAAGGCTTTAGGCCATCCTCCACTGTTTTCCCAGGCCACAGACAGGGAGCTGGATGGGAAGTGGAGCAGCCAGGATGCAAACCTGTGCCCATATGGGATTCCGGTGGATTCAGCTACTAGGCTACTGTGCCAACATAGCCACATCTTTGAGTTCCACTTCTAGCTGTTAACCTGTGTATTCTCACCTCATCTGCAGTTGCTTCCTCCATTCAAGTCTGAATGCCATGAAAGTCACCACGGTGCAGCACCAGCTGTCGCGGTCACTTGGGGAGTGAGCTATAGTCAACTTCCCTCAAATTCTTGATAATATTGATAATGTTGACCGCCTCCCATAGTTCAAGTATGTTTTTAGTGGCATCTGGGATGCAGGCCTTCCCAGAAGGGAGTGTACTTTACCTAGATTTATAAGAGGAATGAGCTATTGCTTTATGAAACGTATTGTTTAAATCATAAACTTCATAGAGTTACTTCAGGACCCATGTAGGGCTACAGAATAGATGTTTTCTTCACAGCCGTGAAAGTAACATATTCATCTCCCTCATATTCTAGGGTGGTCAGGTTCATGGTCAGCAGGCAGTAATTTTTGAATTGCTTTTCCTCATCTGAAGCCAAATTCTCAGGGAATGTGTTACATACAGAGGTGTTGACCTCCAGGCCTTGCTGTTCCCCTCATGGCAGAGTGGATTTAGTGTAATTTTACAGGGTCTTAACCTTTTCAGAATATGAAGTGAGAATTGGCTTCAAGTCACCAGTTGTGCTGGCAGCTAGTGGGAAATTCAGCCCGTTCCTTGAACACTGAAGCCAGGCATGGGCTTCACATAAAATATCGGCACAGCATCTTTTTCCAACACAGCACTGTTCTGTCTACACCGAAAATGTGTTGTTTAACTTGGCCCCTTCCAGCAGTTCTGTGAGCTAGATCCTCTGGATGGATCACTGACAGAGCTGCTTTAAGCAGCAGTGCCTTACCTTTTATATAATAATAAAGACCACTTCTTTCCTTCAGCACTGTGAGTCTACTGGAGTTGGTTTCTCCTGCAGCTTTCTTCTCTCAGCCTTCATAGAATTGAAGGGAGTAGGCCCAGCATGGTGGCCTAGCAGCTAAAGTCCTCACCTTGAATGTGCCAGGATCCCATATGGGCACTGCTTCTAATCCTGGCAGTTCCACTTTCCATCCAGCTCCCTGCTTGTGGCTTGGGAAAGCAGTCGAGGACGGCCCAAAATTGGGGACCCTGTACCCACATGGGAGACCTGGAGGAAGATCCAGGCTCCTGGCTTTGAATCGGTACAGCACTGGCCGTTGCAGTCACTTGGGGAGTCGATCATCGGATGGAGGATCTTCCTCTCTATATATCTGACTTTGCAATAAAAAATAAATCTTTTAAAAAAAATTGAAGGGAATTAGGCTTGATGTGGGTTACGCTTTGGTTTAAGGGAATATTGTGGCTGGTTTGGTCTTCTGTCCAGATCACTAACTTTGTCTCAGTTTCAGCATTCAAGCTGTTTCCTTTCTAGTCAAGTGTTCAGTCGAGTAACACTGTTTTGTTTTGCGTTAACAACTTGGCCTACTGGCAGAGGTGGCCAAGCTTCCAGCCCGTTTCAGCCTTCAGCATGCTTTGCTAACTAGGTTTAATGATTTCTGGATTCTTTTCAAGACTGTTTTTATGTATTTATTTATTTGAAAAGCAGAGTCAGAGAGTAGGAGAGACGGAGATTGTCTGGTTCACTCCCCAAATTTACATAAAGGCTGGAGCTCAGAGCTTCATCCAGTTCTCCCACAGGGCCAGGTACTGCTGCTATTTCGGGCACATAGCAGGGAGCAGGGTGGGAAGTGGGACAGCCTGGACTATGTCCACATGGGAAGCCAGCATTGTACTTAGCAGCTTTTCCTGCTAAGCCTTGGCCCCAGCCCCTAACTCTTGATTTCAGGTGAGAGATAGGTGACTTTTACAGCCACTTAAACTCTTTCAGGCTGCTACAAGGTTAATTGGCCAGCCTTCAGTGTTTTTATGCCTCGGGGAATAGAGAGCTGCTAGGAAAGGGAAAGGATGGAGAACAGTCAGCTGATGGAGCAGTCAGAACTACTCAGTATTTACTTTCCAATTTCACAGTCTGATGGATGCGTGATTACAGTGGCAGCATCGAAGATCACTGGCCAAAGGGCTCGTGTTTGGGTGCAGTGCGTTAAGCTTCTGCTTGGGATATCCTATTCTAACGGAGTCCTCTGCATCTGATCTGGTTTCGTGCTAATGGATCTGGGAAATAAAATAAATCTTGAAAAAAAAATTGCTGGTCACAGATTACTGTATCATTTATTTTAATGAAGAAATTTGGACTATTTTAAGAATTGCCAGTGTGATATAGAAACAGAAGGTTAGGGTTGGATGTGCGGTACCTGAAGATTGCCTTAACAAAGAAAAGTCCCATACGATTCCTGAAACCTGGAAGGTTATTTTTAAGCCAGCATTCATAGAACTGCATATATGTAAATATTAGCCAGATTCTGTTCTTTATAGTACAACTTAAAATGTTGAGAAAGTGAATAAAAATATCATTGGTGGCTTTCGGTTTACAGTATGACTTTGACTTTTCTTCTTCACAGAACGGAAGTATTATGGAAGGCTTGGCATTATGGAAAAACAACGTGGACAAGCGCTTTGAGGGCGTTGAAGATTGCATGATCTGCTTCTCAGTGATTCACGGCTTCAACTACTCCCTTCCCAAAAAAGCCTGTAGAACGTGCAAGAAGAAATTCCACTCAGCCTGCTTGGTGAGTCTACACACACATGTGAAAAAGAAGATACGTGTTAAGTGCTTAGGTTTCCTAATTATAATTAATAAGAGGCATATTAAAAAGTGATTTTTAAAAAAATCTGTTAAAAACATAGCAATTTGCTGTGGCTGCTGGCCTCTGAGCAGCTGGGGTTTCTGATTGGAATGCCGGTGATTGCCGCTGGCATTTCCTTTGAGGAAGACCTTCCCTGATCTTGGCGAGTGAGCCTAACTAGAGGAAAATCATAGTGCAGCCGCTGCAGGTGGCGCTTAGGTCTGTTGATTCTGAGGAGCACAGAACAAAAATTTCACTCTCTCTTTTTCAGTGATTCTGACGCGCATGTGTGAGATAACAGCCGTGAAAAGGTCTTTTAACATTTACAATCTTTTCTTTTTCAGTACAAATGGTTTACGTCTAGCAACAAGTCGACGTGCCCCCTATGTCGTGAGACCTTTTTCTGAGTCAGTTAAAGGCGTTTGACTTGGATCGCTCGTGAGGCAGCGTTGATGTGAGGAAGCCAGTTATTTTTAAATGGGACTTTTCCAAACAATTCTTTTGGTTAATGTAATGATCCTGAAATCAAGTTTACTTATCTTTAGATTGCTTTGTAAATGTTTGGAAATCTTTTCCTTTACAAAAGAATATTGCATATTTGAGAGAAAAATATTTATATGAATGGTTTAATTTCTTTATATAGTTAATGAAAAAAATCTAAATTACAGAATTGGGATATATGAAAATGCAGCTATTATACTGATAAATCTATTCAGTTTGTTCTATGCTCTAGAAAAGTCCAGGTGAGGTAAAATGAATTGAGAGAGCTAATGTAAATCTGCAGATATTTTAAGACATATTTATTAGTTTTGACAAACAATAGAGACAACTAACTAATTCTGATTTTTGTAGATTATTCTAATGATAAAATGACACTGATCTGCTTATCTCGAGCTATCTGAAGCATGCTGTTATATCCTAAGTAAGAGTACACTGAACTTAAAGGTGCCTCCGTCTGTCAAGGGGCATGAGATTCAGAAAGCTCCAGTTCATCACACTTACATTTTGCTTGTGGAAAATCATTTCCGTGCATTGGTGAAATCTCAATTGTCAGTGAATGGATTACTCAGCTTGGAAGAGTTTCCAAAGGGTAAGAATGTGGGAGAAATAGTGATTTGATTATTTCATTCATGAAGCAGAATGGTACCTATCCCTCAGTTGAGAGGGAAGAGTGAAAAAGCATAAAGACTGATAGAATAACAATATTTTTAAAAATGCTCTAGGAGTCTTTACATTTTGGAGGTAGATCTTGCTGTTATTACCAGCCAAAATTACACAAAATAAGAGATTTGGAGAAGCTGGCCTGTTTTAGCCTTCAGAAAAGAAAGCTAGGGTTTTACTGCAAAGTCAAGTTCAATGTGATAGATAAAAGTGTGCAAATGGGTGAAGGCCTGCTTTTTGCCACAGCATGGTTACCATTAAAATTGTGCCCCAAACATATAAGTATGGAACTTTGAAACTTGAAATAATTTTATTGCAGTCTTCCATTTCATGGGGAACTAGTTAGGTTACTTAAGTGATCATCCAATCCTCTGTGTTGCAATGTTTAATTGGCAAAAAGCAACTTGTGTTAAATAAAACTGCTTACTGTCAACTGGGTAAAATGACTATTATTGACATAGCGTGACTATTCGGAGGGCTGCAGTTGGAGAGTGAAGAATTATGACATGGGATTTCCAGACCTCTTGAATTGCACTTGTAGATGCAGCGTCTTACCCAGATTCGTGTGTGTCTTAAATTTTTTGTGTAGTATTTATTATCTTCCTGCCTTGAGGCTTGGAGTCCGTCAAATAAAGACAGCAAAATTCTACTACCTCTTCTTAACTCCTTTCTTAGAATAATCGTGTGTCTTTGTCTGACAGTAACCCCAAAGGACTGTGTTATTTCCATGTAAAGTTACACATCCTGCCACAGTGGTTTTGTAATAAGACGTTGTTTATACACGGCCAGTATTGCTACTTTCGGGCTTCTAACCCAAGTCCCAGATGGAAAAGGGCACGAAGGAGCGTTTACTCTTTTCCCTGCTTCATTGGCAAGCTCTTCTGGAGGGTGTCAGGCTCTTTGGGAATGGCCAAAATGAAGTGATTATATTTATGTAACCACTCTTCATGCTTCAGACCCTAAAGTCCATTTCTTTAAGACTCGCAAGTATAATTATAAAGCTTGTTAGGGCTTACATGCTAAAGAAAAGCCTTTCCAAGGTTGGAATTCAGAATATCACACGAGTAAGTTTTATTCATGCAGCTTTGATGGCTGTGAGAAGAGCTTTAAAAGCTTTAGTGTAAGGTCACTGTAAAACTGCATGAAACTCAAAGCCCTGCAGCAAGATGATTAACTTAAAACCCCAAAGTAAATAGGGGATATTAAGATTTATTTCTGAATCTTATTTGTCACATGCTGTGATATGTGTTCGTACATTTCTGTAGCTTAAACAATCTGTTATTACTTGGTACAGTTTCAGTGCTGTGAGTAGTTTAATGTTTATTTGTTATGCCATATGTGCCCAGTAAAATTCGTTTTAATTAGAAAAAATTTCAGCTATGTAGGAAAAAATAATATAAATGCCCTTGTAACCCTCTACATATTATTTTTCCTTACTTCTGATTTTTAAAGAAATAAAATGTCTCTCTTTTATACGCCTCTCTGGCACAGTTCTCCTTGTCCTCCCCCGACCGTCCTCCTCTTGCCCCCGGACAGACCTGCGTGCTGAGGTCGCTCGGACCCGCTGCCGTTCGAGATCTCAGGCTTCACCATGTTTGTATCCACAAAACAGCGCAGAGAGCGTCTCTTAACGTACGTAGTCGTGATCCCCCGCCACACATCGGCCGTAGCTCGACGTTTACTTGACTCTACTCCTTACCATCAGTTTATTACCAAATGCCTCTATTCCTGCGTCGACTATCATTTGTTGCCATTTTGAACACTGCTACGAGTGTGCCTTCTTTCCTTTTGCAAAGGATCTATGTGTTTGAAACGCAGAGCTAGGAGAGGGAAAGAAAGAGAGGAAATATTTGTCCACCTGCAGGGAGCTGAATCGGGAGTGGAAAAGCCAGGACAGACTGGAGCCCGCGTGGGAAGCTGGGCGTTGCAGCTGGCACCTTTACTTTCTGCATCACAGCATCAGCCCCCCGTTTTTGGTTTGTTGTTTTTTTTTTTTTTTTAAGATTTATTTATTTATTATCTATTTATTTATTCGAAAGAGAGTTAACAGATAAAGAGAGACACAGAGCAGGTCTTTGCCTATCATTTAACCCTCGTGGTTGTTTAATCTGATTTGTCATTTGTTTCCCTATGGTGAGCCTTTTTGTATTAGGTAGTGAAAATTTGCTGCTTCCCTAAGATTTAAAAGTTTCTATTATATTTTGAAATGTCAAAGCCTTACTCATTTGGAACTAATGCCTGGAGTTTAAAAAATTCTATCATCTAGGGCTGGTGCAGTAGCTTGCCAGGCTGATCTTCTGCCTGTGGTGCTGGCATGCTGTATGGTCACTGAATTCCAGAAGCTCCACTTCTGATTCCGTTCCCAGCTTCTGGCCTGGAAAGGCAGCAGAGACTGGTTCAGGTCCTTGGGCCCCTGCACCCGTGTGGAAGATCCAGAAGCTCCTCTGGGCTCCTGGCTCCAAATTGGCTCAGCTCCAGCCATTGAGGCCATTTGGCGAGTGAGCCAGCAGATGAACAACCTCTGTCTTGATTCTCTCTCTCTAAATCTGCCTCAAATAAAAATGAGTAGGTTTTGTTTTCTTAAAAGGTTCTATTATTTTCTCTGAGGTGTAAATGAATCCCAAGTTCTGATCTAAAAGTTTTAAAGTCAAAATGTGCTTCATTCATTAGGAGCTGCTTGTTGCTGTGGTAAGGTAGAAGGCTTATAACTCACTATTGATGGCCAGTTCCCATGGAATCGTTTACTAAACCGTGTACCGAGTTGCCAGTAATTACGTGGTACTTCCTATCTTTATATTACTCGGTCATCTCGAGTTCTGGGCTCTGTTCCAGTGAAGGCTGTGGTTCTCTAATCTTGTTCTTTTTCAAAACTTACTCTGTTGTTCTAGGATAGTCACGTCTTCCGTGTGAGAACTTCACTTGCCCCGTCTGTCCAACATGGCTGTTTTTCTTACAGATGTGTTGGGTAGCCAGCTTGTGTTGGTTTTTCTTCTTGTTTGCTGCTTTTTATTTTTTTTTTTAACATTTATTTATTTTTATTGGATGGTCGGATTTACGAGGAGAAACAGAGAGAAAGATCTTCTGTCCACTGCTTCATACCCCGAGTGGCCTCAAGGGCCAGAGCTGAGCCGATCTGAAGCCAGGAGCCAGAAGCTTCCTCCAGGTCTTCCATGTGGATGCAGGGTCCCGAAGCTTTGGGCCAACCACTGCTACTTTCTCGGACTACCCAGCATGGAGCTGGAAAATAAGTGGAGCAGCCAGCCATGTGGGATCCCAGTGCATTCAAGGAGAGGATTTTAGGCATTAGGCTACCACGCTGGACCCACATCTTTTATTTTTCAAATAGATCTATTACTTATATGAATGAGAGTGAGTTGCCGAGCTCTGTCATCACCTGGTTCACTCCCCAAATGCCTGCAATAGCTATGACTTCGTCAGGCAGAAGTGAGGAACCAAAAACTCCATCTTTGGCCTGTGTGACAGGAGCCCCAGCACTGGGGGCATCGTCTGCTGCCTTTCTAGGCAATCGAGTAAGAAGCCAGGTCAGAAGCGGAGAGTCCACAGCTCTGGCTAAGCGAATGTTACAGTGCTAGGAGAGAGCAGCCAGTCTCCAGCGGGAATTCTGGACGTGGATAATGCAAAAATTGTTAACTATCCCAATATGCTAGCATAGTCGCCTCTGTCGCCGACCAGCAGTGATACTAATAAAATGACAGGCACACTCGAGGGTCTGGAAAAGCAGGAACCGCCACCACATCCGGAACACAAATGAATCTTTATTGCCGAAAGCAGGCTGCTTATATACAGCTCTCCACCAATCACTTCTCCCCGTGGGTCCACTGGGCACTACCTGATAGGCCAGTAGCAATGACATAATTGCAGCGAGGGCATCAGCCTATCCCCATGACTTCCTGTTTGCCTACTGGCGGGACCAACCCTGCCTCCTGGCCCTCGGCCAGCCGCCAGCTGCCATCTTGTGACGGCCTTTCATGGGGCAGCTCCAGCGCACCGCCCCCCACAGCCTCCTTTGTTTTTAGGATATGTAGGGAAGTCGGAGAACAGAGAACGCTGTTGGGGGGGCGGGGAGGGAGGACTGCAGATTGCCTGGGGAAGGGATGCAGGGTCATACGGAGTGGAAGCAGCTGGGAACATGTTTTGAGAGGGTAGGGCTGACGCCTTCCATGGATCGTGGCGCTGCACTCCTGGGTAGGCAAGAGAGCTCAAACTGGGTAGTTTGGGGGCTGGAAGGAACTGGAGGACATGTGTGGGTCAGGCCAAGGCACCCACCCACATGGGAGGTTTTGGCTGGGCTAAAGAACATTACCTGCTAGTGGTTGCTAGCTGGGGCTGGGAGGCATGCCTGACTGGGCTAGGCCGCAGTAACTACCTGTTGAGTGTCTGAGCACAGGGTGTTCCATGTCAGGCTGGGCTGCAGCACACACCAGAACATGTAAGAACTGGGTCTGGGGGTAGACTCTGCAGGGGACTGTGAGCCAGCCTCTGGTACCGCAGCACTTGCAGGTGTGCGTGAAGAACTGGGAGTGATGATGGGTCGAGCCACACTAGACCACAGAACTCACCTGACATTTCTGGGACCTGGGGCTGGGGGGATGCTGAGCTGGACCAGGTTGCAGCACCTCCCGGTACATACAAAACCTGTGCCTGAAGGCAGACCATGCCAAACAGGGCTGCAGCACCTGCCAGCACGTGTGAGATCCAAGGCTGTGGGCAGGCCTGGAAGGAGAACTTGGGGAAATTCCCCTGCTGGGCTCCAGCTCCCATGGGAGAGCACAGTAGCTGGGGTTGGGAGTAGGTTAGGCTAGGCAAGGCTGCAGCACTCCTCAGCATTTGTGCTCACCGGATCTTGGGCCAAGCCTCAGCACCTGCTGGCTCTGGTGTGGACCGCATCAGGCCAAGGGAAGCTGTAACACCTGTCAGTGAGAGCTGAGGTTGCAGGCAAGCCTTGCCAAGACCCGGTCAGAGAGCCGCCAGCATGCAGCAGATCCTTGGCCAGGAGTAGTCATGGTAAGGAGACTGTGGTTTTCCTGGCTAGGCTGCAGCTCCCACTGGGAAATACCAGAGCTGGGCTGTGAGCAGACCAGCCTGGTCAGGACTGCGGCAGCCGTTGGCACGTGTGTGGGCCTGGTCCAGTGTCGGCCTAGGCCAGGACAGGCTGCTGCATCTGCTGGCATGAGACACAACTGGGCTTTGTTGCAGCATCTGCTGGAAGTGCCAGACTGGGTGATAGTCATGTCAGGCTAGACCATGGTGCCCTCTGGCAGGGGCAGGATCTGGGGCTGGGAGCAGGCCTGGTAGGGAAACTGTGAGCACTTCCCTGCTAGGCTGCTGGTGAGCATGGCTGTGGGCAGGCCATATGTATGGGCTAGGTCTGGTGTTGGTTTAGGCTGAGCTAAGCTGTAGCACCCACCCGTGGGTATGCACAAGGGCCAGATAGGATGCAAAATGGGCTAGGCTAGGTTGCAGCACATACCCACATGCAAAAACCAAGGCTAAGGACGTGCCTGGATAGGACTTGTTGGGGGTCACCCCAACTAAACTACGTACTCTGGTGTGCATGAAAACTGAGTCTGTAGGGCCTGGTGCAGTAGCCTAGTGGTTAAAGTCCTCGCTTTGAACATGCTGGGGTCC